AGCGGCAATATCTTTTCATCGGTTGCGTAACGCTGTGTGGAAGCTACCTGGCCTGTCGCTCCGCACTAAGCTTCAGGTCTTCTCGACCATGGTCATTCCCTCCCTTCTCTACGCTTGCGAAACGTGGACCCCCCTAATGGAACATCTTCGCCGGTTGGAAACATTTAGGCGAGCCTGCCTACGATCCATCCTGGGTTTAACCAGGCTGGATTGTGTGAGCTCACAAATTCTTGAAAGATCTGGGCAAGGTCCCATCGGTGAGCTCCTCCGGCAGGCAAGGCTGCGTTGGCTGGGTCATGTAGCCCGCATGCCCAGCCACCGCATGCCTAAACAGCTTTTGCTCGGGCCGGATCGAGGGGGCTAAACGGGCGCGGCACGGGCTAGAGAAGAGATGGGGTGATGTGGTACAGGAGGACGTGGAGCTGAGTGGACTTGCCGATGACTGGTACCAGCGGTGTCAAGATCGGCCTCTGTGGAGGAGGCTCGTGAAGGACGCTATTGGGCAGTTGGAGGCAGTCGATCTACAACAACAGCGGAGGGCGGAGGACCGACGCTCACAACGAGCGGAGCGCCGGGTGGCTATAGCACAGTAGGTTGGCACAGTAGGGGGCACAGGTGGTGCACCAGCCAGTCATCTCAGTCAGTCGACCCGTGGCACCTGAGTCTGCCCCGTGACCTCCTGCCCGCGGGCGTTCGACACTTTACGTGGCCTCAAGGTGCACATGGCCTGGCACAAGCATCGTGGTGACGTCACCGCCACTTAGTGGCGAATGGCGGTTGTTGTTGTGTGAATGTATGTGTTAATGTCGATGTATGAATGCGGTAGTGCAACGGTTAGCGCGCTGCGCTACACCCGGTGACCCGAGTTTGATTCCCGATCACGGCCAACACAAGTGACGATTATCTGAACCGGTCCTGGGCCTCCCCTAAGTCGACTCAGACTCAAATTAGTACCTGGTGCGGTTGTAAAAACATCGCCACTAGGGAGACAAAGGCGGTCGGGCGTGGTGCTGGCCATCCACCCTCTTGTATATCGCACCGGCCTTCATAGGTTCACGCTAACATGATTTGCCCCAACAGTCTGTTAAGGCTATACGGGGAATCTTTGTCTTTGTTACGTGTGGATATTTGCACGTATGTGTCGTGACGCACTCAGAGACACTAGGAGTCGGAGGCACTCTATTATCAGCCTTCACCGGTTACAAGAGGTAACTACAACTCTCAGTCAGGAGAGCTGGCAGACTGCCTGACGATGCCGTTGACGGCCACGAAGACCCCAGCAGCACGACGAGGAGATCCCACTCCAAGCGACAGCCCCGAGCCTTCGCTCGGAGTCCCCTTTCATCCTCCCAGCGTGGCCTCGCTCCACCCCGGCCACGCCCCCCCCCCCCCCTTCTAGGACCGACTAGTGGGTTCCCTGGCTTACCTCACGTGCCCCCTCTATTACCTTTCCCCTACATCCCTCTCTCTGGCTTATCACGTGACCTACTGAGAGAGCTGCTGCAACTGCAGATCCCCTTCTCTGCCAGCAAACCACGCTATGCTACGCAGTGACCCATTCCATGTCACTACATCTGTATGTGTGCCACATCCAGACCTTGCTAAAGATAATACACATTATTTGCTACTTCTGCCCCTGCGTTGGCAGTGGTGCATAAGCACAGATAACAAACTTCACCCTCAACATTCGACAAAAACAGTGGCCTTATACGAGAAATAAATAGGTGACGTTTGAGGCAATGAGCCTCCTTAATAACTATCTGCCTGACCTTTATTTATGTACTATAAAAGAGAGACATTGTCTGAAACGTTGCCAATCATATATAGTATGTTTTGTCCTTATTTTAAGGGTCACAGTGTTATTCCTGGTTCTTTCGGTAAAGTCATGTAGAAGGGAAACAATAAAATAATAAAATTCTTGGTGTAGTTTTCACACCTGATGATGATTGCTTGTGTTGCAGTCGAAACGTCGTGAGAATTTTATTGTTTTATATTTGTATTATTGCATTGTTTCCATTCTACTTGACTTTACCGAAAGAACCAAGAATATGAATCCCTGCAGTCACGAAAGCTTTAAATCAAAAGGTCACAGTGTTATTGCAGAAGCGAAAGTCTACGGGCTCTAACGAGACCTTGTACTTGTCCAAACACAGCCGAGGTGGATTTTGTCCAACTCTGAGTGTCGCTGAAAGTGATTCGACACGTTCTCAGAGAAAACGGGAGGTTATACATCCTCGTCTGTTCACATATTAGTTTCGTGTCTGTGTAACTTGGTTCTGTAATTGTGCTGTGATCAGTGTAAGAAAAAGTAATCTGCCGATTTGCGCTGCAGAGGTGGTGAACGTGGACGGACCAGTGACATTGGTTTACGAGGACATTCTAGTTGTAGGTGCTGTGCAGGATATGGCCTTGGAGCCAGTCCGAGTTCTGGTTCGAGAAATGGTCACCAGGCAATCAGAGGTGCATCTAAGGTTGCTTGAATTGTTTAATGGATGGGGGATGTCGGTTACAAAAGACGACCGAGCTGATTGTATTTAAGATCTTTTTTAGATAAAGATCACACACAGTAGATCCTCTGCGTAACTCCGTCGAGGCTAGATTATCTTGAGCGTAAAGCTCACCCTGATGAGCTCTATAAGGGGGTATCTAAGCCGAATCTTGGAGCCGACTGATGGAAGAGGATGTCGTTTGTTAAGGAGAATGTTTGCGACTGATCTGTAGGCTACATCGCAGTAGTCAGAGGTAGGGTGGTATAGCTTCAGGAATAGGAAGGCGGGTGTCCTGAAAGTAGTGCTTACTTCTACAGAGAAAAAAAATACTTTACATTTCACTTTGTTGAACGTAAACGTCAATATGTGAGTGGAAGTTCAGAGAACTCGACCTTGAGGCCAAGCGATTTGTAGCATGTGGTTTGGACGATACACTTGCCACTCCAGAGCCATAATCAGTGGGCTAGACATGGGTGATCTTCATTTGATACGGAAAACACAAGCGTAGTCTTGATCGCATTTAGAACAGGTTTGAGTGACATCAGTAGATCGTAGATGAGGCTAAAGTCAACGTGAAGTTTATATTGAAAATGTTTCAAGTGATTTCGACATGACCGAATCATTTCGCAAACGGGTCATTTGTGATTGGTTGAGACCATGACCAAGATCATTAACATATAGAGGAGGGTAGGTCGCAGAACACATCCCTGCGTGACGCCCTTTTATCATTTCCATAGGGGCAGTAGATACATCATTAGTGTACCCTTTGAGACCAATTTCAGAGGTAGCTGTCCACCCGTTTATGAGCACCGCAAGATACATTGATGTGGCCCAGGGCATTGGATGTCTGGATCAACAGCGGTGCCCAATGCTTTGCAGAAATCCAGCAATAAGGCACCACAGAATAATATCTGGCACCGCTGAAAATGAAATTAAAGGTATCGACCACGGCTGATGTTGCGCTGTCATTTTCCCGAAAGCCAGTTTTCGCTTTTGGTTCAGGACAAGATGAGCCATTATAGAATTCACAATTTGCTATTTTAGATTTAGTTTAGTTTTCCAAAGATGTTGATCACTGCAGAAAGAATGGAAATCGTCCAGGAATCAAATCATGGCTTGGTGGAACTTACCTTCATGGAGTGGACAAACAAAATTCTGTCCAATCTTGAGGGACAGTATCTTTCCCCGAAGGGAAAGCTTGACAATTACTGCGATCAGATCTGCCTATGCCACAAGAGCGAAAGTCGCGATCTCCTCAGCACCGCGTGAGGACATCGTTTCTCCTCGACGATATCCCACAAAGAATGTCCCAATTCAGAATGAATGAAAATTCTCACCTGGTTAAATTAAATAAACTTGCAACTTGAACTTTTAAACTGGACAGGGATCATCATCAACCACCTCATCATCTCACTGCAGGACACTTAGCCTCGTCATTCCATCCTCACACTGCTTAACTGTGGAAATCTGAAGGTCACTTAACCCTTTCCTGTTCCGAGACGTCTGCACGTTGCAGAGTGGGTAGCCCATTCACCGCTGAATCTTGGAACGCACACACGATTGGCGTTCATTTTATTTAGATGCATAGTGCCGTTGTTTTTAAAGACATTGTACTCACCGCAGAGAACCGCGACACGACCGCACTCTACGATAGTTGTCGCCACACTGTGCCAGACGCCTTCCCGCATTGCGTTGAGGGAGCCTCGGGTACCCATGAAGTTTATTTATTTCTTCCGATTCCGTCCTGATGAAGTACACGTACGCCATCTAAATGTGAATACACGGGATCTCAGAACTAGTTCCTTCGTATTTACTTCCGCGGGCCGTTTCCCCAATGGGGTAATGCACTGCTCAGTTTATACTCCTGAAGATTCAGCTCATGGTAATGGTAGTTCAATTTTAATATAATTTCGGAAAAGGACAAAAACCTCCCCCCCCATAAGTAATTGTGTGCACTGTGGCGTTGTTGTCAAGCTGTATTCTATTTAAATGGTGTATTGTTGTGTATGATTGACTTGTTTGTATGGTAGTGTTTTGCACCGTCTAGTTTTGTATTATCTTGTTCTATGGTGTCCTTGCATCGTTCATGCTGTATTTTGCATCGTGTATGTTTGTATTGTCGTGTTCTACGGTGGTGTTGTTGTATTGTGTTGTTGGTATTGCTGTTTTGTGTTGCATTGTAGGTTTCCCCGTGCTGTGCCAACATCAGTGCTCTCCGTCCCTGGCCGCTTGGCGCTCACGGAGCCACCGAGCCCTCGTTCGCCACCTGCCACGCAAACGAGCAGTCTCATCAGGTTCAATGAAGTCGCTCCTTCTGTGGACAGAAGTGGCTCAGACCTTTTGATTTAATTCTCGCCGGTCTCAGCCCGCCCGCCCCCCCCCCCCTCGTAAATGCCTCTCGATCACTCCACGTGGCCGCGTTTGAGCGAGTCCTCGCAGCCGGGCACAGCTCTCGTCGGCGCGCCCCACGTGGACGTGCATTCTCCACCCCAACTCGAAGAGAGGCGCGAGCAGCTTTGTCCGAATCTTTATTTAGCGGCCTTCTCGTTCATTTCACTATTTACAAGGGGAGCGAAAAATAACGGAACGACACAATGACGACAGGGTGTGTGGCCGCCACTGAAATGCGTGCGCAAAGATGCAGATGCCCCCCTCCTCCACTACTCAAAACTCCCCCCGTTACAAACTCCAGTCTGCCGCAAAATCGCTCGGCTAGTTTCAAACCGAAACAGTTTGCAAACTTAACCTCACCCAAGGTTAAAAACTGTCGAGTCCACAAACGCTGCACTACGTATCGCGTCGCGTCTGATGCAACTTGTAATGCAGAGCCTGCAAGCCGAGTATCTCAAGCCGAGTTTGCAGCTCTCAGGCCATGCGGACTGCCAGGGGTCTGGAGCATGCATCTTAGCACAATCTCGTCGCGGCAACAGCTGAACAGTTGATGGTGTGGGTGAGTGGGTTAAGCATTGTAGGGGGAAAGCACAGGAAGGTGTGGTGGCATTTGAATAGGGAGCGGTTGCCCACCCCCCCCTCCTGTGATTCCAAATCTGGCTCCTTGCAGCCACCCCCCGATCCATCTCTTATAACGATTCTGGTAATTCTCCACACGTTACAGAGAAAGGTGCGGATTTGCGGCGTTCAAATGGCGATTCGCCTGGGAACGAAACAAAACAAAGCAACAGAAAGCGATAAAAGACTGTACATTTTTTATCTCTGAAAACTCAGCAGTTGCACACATTTTCCTGAACGACCCCCAGACTGTACGGACTGAGAACACGGAACATGCGACGACTCCGTGCGGTGACACCTCGTGGGACTAAGGTCGAGACGACAAACTCCTCAACACTGGATTTTCAAATCTCTGACGACGCGTGTAGGTCGATTCATTGGTGATGGAAGCGCAATGGTAGTGAACGACAACGATGATGATGATGCACCAGTGCCGAGCTCCCATCAGACCAACCCTCCTGGGAATCTGCGTGGGCTGCGCTCGCCCGTCTGCCGGAGAAAGCGCCGATGATGTGGAAGCCACCTCTCTGCATTACCCGGGGGACTGCAAAAGCCTGGCGCGGAGTTTGTATCCTCCTTCTACCTAGAGCAAAGAAACCGTCACTGCGACCTGTATTCTTGCTTCTACGCGAGAAGGGGAAAGCTACACGCTTCACCTCCATGCCACTAAACACGCTACACCTCAACACGAGCGACGTGAAGAGACGGGTGGGACCGAGCAGCTCCAGCGATTCTTGACACTTAGCTCCAGGAGAAGCAAGCGGCAGACCTTGGGACATGGTGTGTGGACTCACGAAGGGACCATGTGCGTTATCCAAGCCAGTTACCAAGGAGAGTTTACCGTTTCAACGTCCCCGACGGTGGCGCGCGGCCACGCAATACGTAACAAAGCCTTTAATGATTTTTCAGGGTAATAGCACAAATATTCACATCGTGCTACAGATGCCACTTCCGTTTTTCAGGCGCATGATTTAACCCTGGATCGTCATCATCATCATCACTGGTTAGACGACAAGTCTTCTGTTGACATCTCACAGACACAGAGGAATAATTACATTGTTTTAACCTGTGGACGCTGCCTGCAACTCGGCCTCCCAGAGTCGAGTTCCAAGCCAATGAATCCTGAAAGAGCGATATCCGTCTTTCCCTGGGCTGCGAGTCGCCCTGCGGAAAATGGGTTTCTCATCTTGACAATCGGCAGCTACGGCACGTAGTACCATGGCAGACTGGTTTTACGTAAACAGCACGGACGACTAAAAACTGCCTCGTCGCAGGAGAGTCGGCACTGGCGAGAGCATCTGCTAGCGGAGCCCTGGCGTGTGCCCGGGCGATGGAACCGGGCCAGGAGACGCAGGACAAACAGGGCGAGCCGCCACCGCCACCTTTCCGCCACTGGGCCTTACGTACAAAAAATAAAGCAAAATTACGCTGTAACCATCTGTGTGTGAAAAAAAAGTAATAACAGCAATACCAAAAAAACCAACACGAGAAAATAGCTCTACGTGTCGCATGGTAACGCGTCACGACACACCAACGCGGTGCAGCCCACCGTCACCGACGAAAGAGGGACTGGGGGGTAGGGAGGGTGGCGCCCATACACCAAACGCAGCTTCTGCCCCCCCCCCCACCTCCCATCCCCCAAAGCACCGTGACCTCCCCCACCGCACAGCGTGAGCGGGCAGCCTCAAGGCTCACGACAGGGCAACCTGACGACCGACCGACCGACCACGCGCAGCGCCCATCGCGCCGCCGCAACCGCCACCACCGCCGCGGTGGGTCGGAAACCGTCGGCGCGAGAGGGCGGCCGCCGTCGTTACTGCGCTTTGCCGGGCATCTTGGCGCGCTTGCGGGCGATGGCGTCCTCCACGGCCTTGAGCTGCTTGAGCAGCTCCTCCCGCCGCGTGGACGTGCTGCTCTTGGAGGCGGCGCCTTTGGCGGCGGCGGCCGCGGCCGCGGCGCCGGCGGTGCCGACGGCGGACGAGGCAGACGAGGCGGATGAGGCGGAGCCCGGCGCTGACGAGGCGGAGCCCGGCGCCGACTTGGCAGTGCCGCTGCCCCCGCCAGAGCCGGTCGCGGGCGGGCCCTGCAACTTTCCGCCGCCGCCGCCGCCAGATGCCGGCGCGACCGCCGATGACGAAGACTTCGGAAGATGAGGGGGCGACGGGGGGCGCTTCCTGCGGGCATAGCGAGGACAGGCATCCCTCCGATTAGGCCAGACGTGAACCTGGACGGAGCGACAGTGGCGCTTTATTTATTGAGAAACGCCTCCAAGGGGTTCTTTGTTGAATTTGTATTATTCCAGTCCTCCATAAGTGTTTTTGCATGGGAGATTATACCAGAGTTGCCCGGGGAAAACTCACGGTACGTACAAACAGGCAACGTTCAACGGTCTGCACAGACGGGCTAATGAACGCTCTTGCTCCACACTGACATCTCCTGGTCACCTCACAAGCCCAGCAGGTGTAAGAGTTTTATAAACATCTATATAATCCACCGAACCCTGCCTCCAAAGCACTGAATAATACAATAAACTACGGCTCGTCGTGTGGCTTCTGAATGGACACAGCCACTCTGTGGGCGCGTGTATGTGTGTGCGCTTGTGCGTGTTTGGGTCTGTGTGCGTGCACGCGAGTTCCAAACCCAACATCCCTGTGCAAACACAATTAGGACAAACAAAACAACGTGTTCCTCCTAAACCAACATCAGCGGCAACAAGGGGGAACAGGAGGAGGGGAGCACAAGGCCTGACCTGTCGGATGGTGCGGGTCCTTTGAGGGGGGAGGGCGGCCGGTTGGCATGGCGATCACCTCGAGGCGACGGAGGGCGACCGACGGGGAACCGGCGCTCCCGGTGCGCCGCTGCCCGGCGCCACCGCAAAGCGCAAATCGGTGGAGCGCAAAAAGCGGGAGAGGAGAGACACACGTCGGTTAACGCCGGTGTGCCCCATCTCCGTTCCACAGCAATGCTTGCACGGCGTTGTTATGGATGTATTTCCTCATTTCGGCGCCACCGTCAAGTGCTTGGTTCTCTACTTGGCTGTAGTCCTCACTAAATATTAGTTCCAGTCGCGCGCATTGTTCTCGAGACCGATATTAACACTTGGTGAGATTTAACCAGGCAAGAGTAAGGTGGAGAGTGGGGTGGTGTGGGGGTTGGGGGGGCAGGAGCTGGAGGGAGGGCACTGACCCCGGTCCGGTGATATAGGGACCCGTTTAGCTGGCGGTGAGCGAGGCCGATCCTTGTCGACCGGCTCGTAGCGCTTCCGCCCGTCCCTGTCCGTCGCTCCGCCCTGCCGACGGCGCGTGCACAACATCGCCCGACGTTATAACTCATCGTCGACACGAAACAGTGTCTGTCCACTGCTGGATGAAAGCCTCTTCACGCTGTCTCCACCCTTCATGGAGCTGCCGTGCTGCAATCCGTCGCCCTTTGCGCACGAGCCGATTTCATTGCTCCGTCTCAGCAGCGGCTGCGCTCGCGTGTATGGTATTTTCCTTTGGCTGCCATTCTGTTGTTATTCCTGCTCAGGGGCCATCGTACCTTCTAGCGATGTCAACTGCCCAATCCCACTTTTATCAATGGTCAAGATGACGTCGGAGAACACGTATAGACAAATATATAGGCAATACAAGAGGTTCACGTAACAGCAGTAGCAAGACACACCACACACAACCCTGCCTCCATTCCACGACTTTATTAATTGATATTGTATTCTTTGGGTTTTCCGGTAAGGTCACGTAGATAGGTTTAATGAAAATAACAAATAACAAAAAACTACGTTTCGATCGCAACACACGTGGTCGTCCATTTTCCTGATGACGACCGCTTGTGTTGCGATCGAAACATTGTAGTTTTTGTTATTTTCTATGAGCCTAATCTACGTGACCTTACCGAAAGACCTAAAGAATATGAATTCCTGCAGTCACGAAAGCCTTAAGTCAAGATTTAATTGATATTCGATTAAGTAATCAATTATCGAAAAAAAATTACAATCGAAAAACAGCCCAATCAAACAGGTGGCAGCGGATTCCTCAGCAACGCCGGCATTGGCCTAGGAACAAAACATCTCCCACGCACGCGTAAGCACAGCTGGCCTTGCCTTGCTGACGAGCGTGATCTTGATGTCCTTGTGGCTCGACTGCGGCAGAGGGGCGCCGGCGTGCGCCGCCTTGGCGGACATGGCCGGGGCGGCCCCCCTCCCCGTGCCGGAGGGCTGGGCGGTGGTGGGAGGCTGCAGGGCCGACGAACCCCCCCCGCCTCCCCCGCCGCCGCCCGTGGGGGGCTTGGAGGGTGGAGGGGCGCGGCCCGTGGACAGCGGCGGCAGTGGCGGCGGCGTCGCCCGCTTGCGCTCCCGCGGCCGCTCGCGCTCTTTGACGACGACGACGCTCGGCTCCTCGCGCTTCGGTTTGGTCGCAGGGGCTTCACCGGAGATGGGCGCAGAAGACAGCACGGCACGGATAGCACACGATGACATGTGGCCCAGCAGATAGCACGCAACACGTGGCCCAGCAGATAGCACACGAGGACACGTGGCCCAGCAGAGAGCACATGACACGTGGCCCAGCAAATAGTACACAACAACACGTGGCCGAGCGATTGGCACACAACGCGTGGCCTGGCGGCAGCACGCTCGCCGCTTCATTGCAGAGTTTCACACGTTCGTTCGAATCCAGCGGCCGCCCCGATTAGCACAGCGGTCGTGCATTACTCGGAAAAGTACGACGCGTCGTCCGCTTCACGGTGGATGTTAGAGGTGCTGTGACGTCATCTGCAAGAGTAGGCCATCGTGCGCCAGACGCATGGGTCCAAATTTGAAAAGTTACCTGCATATTACTGATATAATTTAGACAGAACTCATCGCCCCCCTACTGCGATAACTGAATAAGTCTTAACACTCAATGCTGGCTTTTCTGAGTAAGTAAACGAGCGTAGTAACAATAACGATTCAAAAAAACCCCGATAGCACACAGCACAACACACGTGATGCCGGCGCGCGAACACCGACGCGAGCACCCACGCCGGCGCGGACGCGACCGCACCTCTCTGCCGCGGTTTGGGCGACGCGGACGGTGAGCGCGAGCTGGCGGAGGACACGGGGCTCGCCAGGTCGGCGTACATGTTCTCCGAGTCGGCACTGTGCACCGACTGGCTCGAAGCGGCGCTGGAGGCCGATGACACGCTGCTCATGCTCAGGGACCTGCGGGCGGCGGAGAGGAGGAGGATGAGGAAAGGATGATGAGAGGAGGGATCAGTTGGCAAGCAGATGAACAGGGCGAGCTGCTTGTGAGCCGCTGAGGGGGTGAACAGCAGAGGTAGGTAATTGAGATGGTGCTCTCATGAGCAGGTGCGAGCATGAGTGAACAGGTGGGTGAGCAGTGGGCGAGTGTGCGAGTTGGTGAGTGGTGGGTAGGTGGGTGAATGGGTGCGCTGCCGAGATGAATAGGCAAGCGAGTGAGCTAGTTGATAAATGGGCAATCAGGTGAGTAAGTGGGCCACCAGGTGAACGGTCGAACAGGTGAGCTCAAATGCTGTGTTCGAGTGAGAAGGTGAGCTGGGTGGGGGTGAGTGAACAGGTCAGCACATGAAAGTAAGAAAGTGAACTTGCTCGCGAGTGGATGAGCTTGACAGCAGGTGAATGAGCTGGTGATTGAATCAGAGGTTGAGCTCAGACCGTGACCTGAGCAGACAGGTGTAAGGACGCTAATGGGACAAACAGGTGAAGAAGGTGAAACGGTACCTCGAGTGTTTGGAAGTGGACGAGGATGGGGAGTGCGGAATGGAGCGCGACCGTGATCGCGAGCTCGACAGACTCACGGAGCCTCGGCCCTCCCTGAAACCACGACCGTCACACAACCATCACCGTCACATCAGCACATCCCGAGACCCACCTCCGGCCTTGTCACGGGTACCACCTGCGCACGTGTGTTCATCTGGCACGTAACGATCCATCAGTTAACATCCACTCTGAGAGAATTGTATATTTATGACTCGCACTGATACATAAAGGACATGCTCTGTTTGAAAGCTGCGCTCACCTCTGCGGTTGCGTCGAGTTGATCCACTCGGCATCGCCGTAACGTTTTGGCGGCGGCCGGGCATTGGCTGCCCCGGCCCCCACGGGCGGCTGCCGCTCCTTCCTGCGGCCCACGCGCGTCTCCGCGGTGGAGCCCGCCGACGGCCTCCCCTGTCAGGGTGGCACGCGACGTCTTAGGCAACGTCTCGGCAACAAAGCTCGGCCAACCAAGGCTCGAGGGTTTAGTGAAGCGGCGATTGTCAACCTCTCTGAGGCGAGGGTTTAATAAATGACGACCACCAACCTCAGAGTCCTGGGCCGCTCTGCCGTCCGCCCCACCAGGTCCCACTGGCCCACCGGCCCCTTGCCGGGAATCCACGCCGCCCGCTCGCCCCGGCCTCTGCCCGCGGCCGCCGGGAGGTGGTGCACCCGTTGTCCCCCCCGGTTGTAACCGCTTGCCGGGCGGGGACGCGCGCTTGGCAGATAGGGGGGACGTGCGCTTGCCCGCTCTGTCCCTGCGATTGGGGCGATGCGCACTGTCTGGCGTGCGTCTACACGTGTATGCTGCACCTCTGCTCTGTATGTTTACGCTTGCAAGTGCATCGTGTGCTGTGTGTGTGTATACGCATGCATGTAAAATGGCGATAATAATTTTATTTTATAATGCGTTATTCGTGAAATTGCATCCCACAAAGCTGCACATCAATTATCCAGTTCCATACAAAAAATACTAAAATAACACCTCGCTACTTAGCAAATAATAACGAGAAAAAAATGCACTTAACAATAAAAAATTATCGCAGAGAAAATTCATTAAAATAAGTAAATCCATTCGGTCTCCATACCCCCCAGACCACAATGGATAGCTTGGAGAGACCTTCACCCGGCAGTTGTTGGACTGTGGGCAATTACGACGACGATAATGGTACACGTGGCGTGCGTGCGCGTACGTGCTTCTCACCCAGCCGCTGGCAGCATCTGTGCAGCTTTGCCCTTGTGCTGAGGGCGGACTCGAGGGGGGGACGCGGAACCGGATGGGGAGTGAGAGAACGAGTGGGTCCTGGGGCGTGGGCAGAGATGCACGGGGGCAACGGTGAAGGCAGCGACCACCACCGGCGACACAAATATCAACAACCGACCGCCGGCATTGGTCTCCGAGTGGAAGCCAAGGTCACAGGTGAGGATAAAATGAAAAATGTTACTATTTGTTTTACCAGGGAAGGCTATGTAGCTCTTTTTCAGAAGCCACATGGTCACAAATTTTATAGCAACCAAATACTCTATACGCATGTTTCTAAATGTGGAGGGAAAAACCGGAGGACCAAAGAGAGAATCCATACAATCACGGAGTGAAAATGCCAACTCCAAATATACAGACGTCAGAGTTGGGATCGAACCCACGACCTCCTGTATACCAGGCGAGGTGGTTAACATCTCGCAACCGTAATAAAGGCAGGGGTCCAGCCCGGCCCGTACCAGTTAAGTCCCCTCTGTTCAGTAAACCGCAGTTGCTTGGGCATGTGGTGGTAGGACACGTGAACTACATGACCCGGCCAACACAGCCTCGCCTGCCCGAGGAGCATCCCGATATCACCCGCCCGCTCACGAGCATGGCGAAATTGGGGGGGAGGCACCAAGCGATGCTGACCTGGAGCGGCTGGGAGACAGCGAGGCTGATGTGTGGCTTGAGTGCGACGAGAAGGAGGAGCGGGAGAGGGAGCGCGAGGCAGAGCGTGAGCGCGAGCGTGACGAACCGGAGCCCGAGAACGAGCTCGACCTTGAAGACCTGGGAATGCACGCACGCACGTATGGCCCTGGGCATCCATAACCACACAGGAACACGCACGTTCAAACCCATATGCGCACACTTGCACGTGTTTTACGTACAAAAGCACACGCAACAAACGGATACGCGCACACACACACACACACGTCCATTAACGTCACCAACCAACAAGCGGACAGCTCCGCGTTACAGTTAGGGAATGTGAAAGTTAAGCTATAAAATCGACTGCCAATGAACAAGACGCAAGCATTGGATGGCGCGTATAAGAATCGTTTACTTCGATTTCACGTGAACTTTTACGTAAATGGCATCTTAATAACTGCACAAAAGCTGATGACCAAAAAACCGAAAACATGCCCTATCTCGTCAGATCTCGGAAGTCAAGCAGGATTTTGTGTCTGGATAGTGCTTGCATGGGCAACGTCCATGCAAGCCAGGTGATCACAGGCAGCTGCAAGGCTGTGCTAGACAAGGGTCAGCATGCACTGCTGCTACAATGCACGTTAACAGTAGAGAGCACAAACATAATACAAATCGCTATTTCCACTGATGATTACGATCATGCCCATCGTCACCAGCAATGAGCAATCCTCTTTTGGATGAACGTCTCCACACACCAGCCCACGTCTCATGGTCACACAATGCAAACAATCTGTCTTGAGCGACTGCACGCGGGCCGAGCTCAGTGGACATCCTCCCCCCGGGCACATTGTTCCCTCCTTTAGCTGCTGCTCCATCGTTAGTCTCCACCAATAATTCCAATGTCGGGTGAGTAGGTAGGCAGGTATCACTATTTTCCACAGTTTTCGCTGTGGGGCTGGGCAAAGGGCAAGTCACCCGAGTCACTTCTGGGTGCCTCTTTCCCCGTCACTCGTTTGGCCAAAGGGCGGTGGCACTGGGGAGCAGCAGCTGATGGGAGCGCTGCCAGCACGGCGCGTACCGTGATGACATGGAGGCGGAGGAACCGGGGCCGCGGTGGTGCCGCCGCCCGCGCCGAGGGTGAGTAGGCGACTCGCTCCCTCCCGGCTTCTTCTTGGGCGACTTGGAGCGCTGCCACGGGTCCTTCCAGTCGTCGGGCCGCGGGGGCAGGCTGGGCCCCACTGGGGGAGGCGGCCCTGCCCCTGGCCCCGGCCCAGGCCCCGCCCCCGGCCCCCCTACCACCACCGGCATCTCCTTCTTCTTCGGAGGTAGCTCCACCTCCATCGGCCTGCTGAGGTGGACAAAGACAATGGACGCCCCGTTACAGAAGCTTCATACTCCTGCCGAAAATTCTGACACGTACGGCCCAGCTGTTATTTTTGACATAGTTAAGAAACTATTTATTTTGTTACTTATATTCTCCACGACAACGCTAATGGCTCTTTTGGATTATACATTATACAGTATTGAGTTCATACATAATGGGGGGTTCGCCAGCATTAGTTGAAGCAAAGCTGACTTCACTGATGATATCGAAACCAGGTCCAGAGTATGCTTGTGTTGAACCAATACTGCCGAACTGAATGCCATATGGACGATGGGGTGTCAACCAAAAAAATACTTTTATTTTTTTATCTGGAGAGACCGATATGAGAAGGAAACATTATCTCATTAATTGTGTTTTTTGTGCGGTGTCTTCCTTTTAACAGATTCTCGTCGTAAGACGTTAAATGCTGGATGCTTTGGAAGTGGCCGGATGATTTTTCAAGGGACGCAGTTGTTTTTGTTTAGATTTCTATTTGCTTCACCGCGGTACTTAATTTTATTTGTTTTTCCTTGTTATGTTGGTGATCCAGGTCACTCTTGCAAATCATAATCACCCTGCTATCTAAGTTCTCACCCGGTTAAACAATATAAATGTCAAGCTAGCTGAGATCCAAAATTCAAATTCAGGTTTCAACTATTACCTGTGATTACAAGTGTAGCGAGTTGATAGTCTCAACCTGGTTACCGATGACCGCAGAAAACAAACTCACGTTAAATTGATTTTGCACTTCATCTGGCTAGATTCCAACTGAGAACGATAAAGAAAACAACGTTTAATTCGTCAAATACTCTAAATGCATGTTGATTCTAAATTATGGAAAGAAAAACCAGAGGACCTGGAGAAAAAAATCCACGCGACCACGGGGCGAACATGCAAAATTCAAAGAGGCATCAGGATCACGACCTCCTGCATACCAGGCGAGGGAGTTAACATCTCGCCACCATGGCGCCTTGTGGGCTGACGCAACGCTCTGCGAATTACGAACAGCCTCCTTCTTCTCATGGCACGTTGCGCTATCTCGGCTGGGATCAATAACAACTGGCATCGACACTGGCATCGACGAAGTCAGACAGACCTGGGCAGCGGTGGAGTCTTGGGCCGCTTCTTCTCCTTTTCGCGCTCCTTCTCACGCAGCAGCTTGTCCTTGTCGTCGCGTCGCGCCTTGACTTTGTCGGCATCCCGCTCCCGCGTCTCCGGCTCCTTGCGTCGCTCGCGGTCTCGGGCACGTTCCCTCTCGCGCTCCCGCTCTCGTTCCCTCTCCCGTTCCCGTTCGCGCTCTCGCTCCCTCTCCCTGTCGCGGTCGCGCACGCGGTCCCGCTCGCGGTCCCGGAATCGATCCCGCGATCGGTCCTGCAGAAGCGGAGGGGGAAACAGTGCAGGGGAACCGCATGCGACATTCACATGGTGCGGAACTTTCGAGTCTTATCTCTCTGACGTTCCCCTCGTTACAGAGTGTTCATGACCTCAATGATGGAGATGCGTCATTCTCCGTGACTTTGGCTTTGCTATAGTATTGCTATGCTCTCCCGGTCACATTTACAATACTGTCCATCTTAGTCTCTGTGTACCACTGCTCTACCTTTTCCCCTCCAATTGACCAAACATTAATGGTTTATCCAGCAGTTTATCCAGATTTTCCCCATCATAGACAGAGATATGGTTCCAAAGCACATTAGTTTAAGTCTTTCTATCATGATGTTCATTCTGGCTCACTTGCCAATCTGCCAGTAATACGCCTCTCCTTGCTGCCCACGGGATACGCGATAGCTTTATGCAGCACCTCCGATTAGCACGGTCGGCTACGTACGGTTCGAAAGAAGTTCAAAATACATCCATACCATAGCTGCTATTTTTCTCCTATATGCTGCACCGATCGTCTGAGTTCCACATGCGTGCATGAATACATTCGTGCGTGCATTCGATCGTGCTAGTACAAAAACTGTATGCTGTGCCGATGGGCGTGGGGGCGTTTCTTCTGTACCGGGCTCGGTGGTCGGCCTGCTGTGGGTCCGACCCGGTAGCGGTAGTGTTCTGGGTCCGTCCACTGCACGCGGAAGTTCTCAAAGTGACCGCCGCGCCAGTAGGGGTCCGCTTCCGGGTCATAGTAGGGGTCGCAGTAGGGGTCGTACCTGGACGGCATCAAGCACCCATCCACTTAGCTTTTAGTCTGAAGTATCTTCAGCGTGCTGAGCAGTGCATACTCGCTCACATCTACCGACGGGAAAACTCATTAAATAAATAGTAACGCCAGACAACTATTCACAGTGCAGTGACGTGGATGCTACCGACACGTGTAACCCCGACACGCTATACTCTGCAATAACATCTGAAGAGGTGAGAACATGTCAAGGAAGGAAGAGATCGGACACAGTGTTAAACCACAGAAGGGTTGCAACCTATGTTAATCAAGAAGAGACAGAAGACAGCGAAGCAGGTCTCACGCACGACACATCAGCTGAGCATAAATCAGCATTTTAGGTAATTGCGGAGGCTGCTCATGACCAAGCTTACCCGTAGTCTGGAGCCTCCTGATAGGCCATCACTTCCCTTAGCGCAGCAGTTGGGAGAGAAAGCAAAAAGCAAAAGCTCAAAATCAACGTTCAACATTCACTGGGGGACCCCTCGCCACCGAGGCCAGATGCTAGAGCTGCAGAGCGGCACGTGCCCTCCACTGGACAACACGACGGAGAGAAACAGGATGGACACGTGCGACGCAAAAATACACGATGGGACACGCTCACTGCCAGCATCAATGCAAGCCACGCACATAACACGCACAAACCTCTGTGGCCGATTTTAATTCCAACCACAGGATAACACGTCAAGAAAAATCGGCTGTTGCTTTGCAGATACACACGTAGGCTGCGAGCCCTGGGCTGTCTGAAAAGAGTTTGAAGCTTCATTAGTGAGGAAAAAAATTCAACTTCAAAATTATGGTCAGCTGCTTCACCATAACGCTCCGCAAATGTCATTCTGCCAAGGGATTAATACGTCTGTGTCAACGACTCAGTAAATATTTGAGCGGCCGGCACATCACATCCAGTATACCTCTCGCTATGGGCTGCGGCTAATGGTCATATGCTGCCTACTCAAGTGTGCCAGCACCCCAGAAAATATTCAGTGAGAAATTCAGCTACATGTGAGACTGTGGGTCTCCACGTGAGTCTCTATGTGAGTCTATATGTAAGTATATGGCTCTACGCAAGTAAAAAAACTATTTTCATTTTTAAATAGTTTTTGACTCTATACGAGCTGATGGCTCTCTATGTGAGATCGGGGCTTAATTTGAATCAGGTGCATCTTGCATCAGTGACCTGGAACAAGACGACATCTGGTACATGTCACACCACATCCAGTATACATCTCAATAGGGATTGTGGCTATTCGTCATGTGCTGCATATTCCGTTCTACCAGCGACCCTGAAAATATCCAGGAACAATTTAAGCACTGTGTGAGGCTGGGTATCGAGAGCGAGTCTTATATCAGTGTTGGGGGGGTCTCTGTACGAGTCCATGGGTGCGTATGCGAGACCAGGATGTAACTGCACCCAGGTCTGCCGGGTCAGCAACCCAGAAAACTATTTTACCAGGTAAGGCCTACTGAGCTAAATAGCTATTTTGCAGAAGTGACCTGGCCACAAATGATGGCTCAACGAATTGGCTTATCACGTGGAAATTTATAGCAGCCAAATACTCTAAACGCACGTTTCTAAATGTGGAGGGAAAAATTCGGAGAACCCGGAAAAAAATCCACACGGCCACGGGGAGAGACACACTGCAAACTCCAAATATACAGGAGTCAGGGTCGGCATTCAAACCCATGACCTCCTGCATACCAGGCGAGGGGAGTTAACATCTCGCCACAGCGGTGCCCGTAAAATGAAAAAAAAAAAATTCCGCTCCCAGCGCAACCGCATCCAGAGCAGTGAGAGACGAAGAACCCCCGCTCGGCTCGTTACCCCATGTCGCGTGGGTCACGCGACGGCGGCGGTGGCGGTGGAGGAAGGGGACCGCCCATGCGGAACATGCGCTCGCGGTAGTACTCGTTCTCCTTGTCGAAGTCCCGCTCCTCGTCGGCGCCGCCGCCCACAGTCACCGTGAAGCGCTTCTCCTCAAAGTCGGGCTCCTGCTCTTTGCGCAGGCTCGCCTTCTTCATCAGCTGCGTCGAGGCAAACCATGGGGAGCGCGCGTGGTGCCACGATGAGGGACGGGGCAGGTGTGGAGATGTCAGCAAAGCCCACTGGGGGGTTTTAACTTATTTTTCAGAAACAACCTGGCCACACAAATGGTGACGTGGCCCCAGCGGCCGTGCTTTCGCCGAACGTCGCAAAGGTTCGCGGTTCAAGTGCAGCAGTCTCCGTGGTTTTATATTAACTGTAAAAAAATACCATGAGCTGGCTGCTTCACTTAAAGCGGACATTAAAGATCCTGTGGTGTCATTCGCAAGCGCATGCCACCGCGTGCATCACAGGATACATTTTCAAGATTACCATAGGTACACATACACGCGCTTGCTGCAGACACACAACTTTGAGAGTGCGTACGGCAGTAAACGACTCAAATAATAAACCAATGATGCGCCAAGAACGCCTTAGACCTGCAACACATTTGTACGGCACTTTACTCGCGGAGGGTTGGGGGGGGGGGATGCGTGACATCCACAGGCACACTGCGTAACGCTTCCGCATGCGGGTGACATCACAGATGTAATGTCACAGCTCACTTGTCGTGCAAAATATATCCATTATTGCACCCCCCCCCCCAAAATATACAAAAGTCTATTTTTACACTTTTTGCATGGTGTACAGTCTGGAAACTACCCACATGGCAAATTTCAAGTTTGTTGCATGTCGGGAAGTACGCTAAACATTTTGAACAGACACACATTCACAAATTTCCCTTTTATATATATAGATATAAATGTGTATAAATATAATTTTATGAATTAATCACTGCAAACTTAGATGCAAGCCCTGCACGTGTGCGTCACCTCCTTGGCGTGCCGTAGCCCGCGCTCCCAGGCGCTCTCCACTGGAGGCTCCACGGGTGGTGGCGGCAGCAACTCCTCCATCATCGCCTGCTCCACGATGCGAGACACGGAGATAGCGACGTGCTCAGCCATGCCACGGGACGAGGGACACGTGCCGGTATGAGAGAGAAGCCGCGCACTGGTACGAGAGAGGAAGGCAGCATGTGCCAGTACGAGAGAGGAAGGCAGCACATGCCAGTACAAGAGAAAAGTAAACTAATTATTTGATGATGCTGCTGCGTTGGCAGTTGTGTACAAGCACGAATAAATACAGCTTGCCACATTGGTCGACACTGTCGCCTTAAAAGGAAATATATATTAGGCAATGTTTTAGGAAATGGCCGTTCTTCGCAGCAAATGATTGCCCTAAAAGCCATCTTTCAAATATTTTTATTTTAAAGCCACGGCGTTATTGACGAATGCGCATGAGAGCAGTGTTACGTCAATTGCATACCGATGAATTAGTTCCGGTTGGAAATATATTTTCTTTCCCATGCAAGAGTTTAGCTCAAGTTTCAGTTCAGTTCTTAACCAAAGGAAAAATGTATTTCTTGTTCTAGAATTTCAGTCTCTTATAGTTCTCATTTACTAGTTCCACCTACTCTCAAACAGATATGTAAAATATAAATGTGTAATGTTATTACATCTGTAATTGGTATCTAAATGACACACCTCCACGTAATTGATATTCTGTACATAAATTACACGAGTGTTTATTAATTGGTAATCTACATCGATAATTCTCCAGTATTTGGCCCTTCTGTGTCAGGCGTACGAGAGGAAAGCACCAGCATATGGTTGAGCATCTCACCCACGGGTTAGGGGGCACGGCAGGGTGTGGGGGCGGCAGGTGAGGGGGAGCCCCGTTGGGGGAGAAGGGGTCAATCTTGGGCTGGATGAGGGAGTAGTTGCCCTTGTCGTTGACCCCGGGGTGGATGAAGCGGCAGGTGAAACCCCACGTGCAGTTACCTGGACCAGGCAGTTGTGCGGGGGGGGGGGGGGGGGGTTAAGGCCAGTGGTGGAACATTAAACAAAGAGAGAAGGGGCATGTGGGGGAGGCAGTGGGAGAGAGAACACCACACTTCGGGTCACATGGTTTTATCTGTCAATTTTTCTTCGGCTTTTCCACAATTTTATTCCAACTGTGCTTCGAGCATCATGTCATGTAACGGGACTTGTTCAGATACGTTTGATTGCATGTTTTCTTTATTCCTTGCTACAGAGGTGACAGACCGGATATTTTTAATTCTTAAGAGCTGGAATGAAGTAAAACATGAATTTTATAAGATGGATTTTTGCATGCAGTGATTAGTGATTGGGCTGAGACCATCAAATCACTACACTTGAGAACTCCGTTTAATCTGCCTGGATCTGAACCGAGGGTCTCAGCAGCATCAGTTTGGTGCTCTTCGTCTTAAGCCACCTTCCCGGTGATGTAAATAAAACAAAACAAAGATGCCTCCAGATAGTCTTGTCAGACTGTTGAGGCAGGTCCTATGAAGGCCGACACGGCACACGAGGGGGTGAGGAGCCAGCACCATGCCCGTCCGCTGTTGTCTCACTAGTGGCTATGTTTACACACCGCACCAGGTTCAAATAATTGTCACTGGAGTTGGCCATGAGCAGAAATCGGACTCAGGTCTCTGGGTTCGAAGCGTGGTGCGCTAACCACTACACTAATGCTCCTCACCATAAATAAAACACGCGCGCACACACACACGAGTTTACACAGCGCGTGGCACTCACGACAGCAAGAGCACATCACGCACCTTTGATGAAAAACCTGCACAGAGCCTTTGGCCGTGGTCTCCTATCCACCGACTCCTTCACCTCTCCCTCTTCCAGGTCATCATCCTGTAAAAAACAACCTCGTCAGGGGCAGTCACCTGACCTCGATTCACACCACTGTCACGTTCCTAAACCACTCTACATGACAACATCTTCAACTTTGCTCACTAACATCTTCACCGATCACTGAGTGGCAGCCAAGGGAGTGAATGTACCCGAGAGGACACCCACAATAAAATCAGCTCATACGCAGAAGCTTGGCGAATCGTTACATGGCAGGACCATGACAGATGGTGATGGCTGGCCTTCTCCCAACAGTGAATTGATTGTGGATGATTATGACGATGCTAATGATGATGTTGCGACACAAACAAGACCAACCTCAATTTCTCCATCATCGTCCACCTCCCCATCGTCACCCGACTTTCCCTCGAGCCTCCGGTCCCTCTCTCCCACCGAGGCCACCCTCTCCCCGAGCCGCTCCTTCACCCCGAGCCTCTTCTTCTCGCCCTCGTCCGGGGGACGCTCTGCGGTACCAGCCACGTCCCCTGGTGCCACAGCAACCACTTCCTTGGCAACTGCGCTCTTCTGTTCCTCCGGCTGAAAGATGGGGCACATTTCGTTTGTTAGCTGAGGGTAAGTAAACCCACGGAGCAGCTGCTAACACTCCAGGTCAGATATTACTTGTACAGAACACACGCTAGAAACACAACAACCACCATTCACTACTAAGTGGCGGTGACGTCACTACGGCGCTTGTGTCAGGCCAGTTGAAGTGTCGTACGCCCACTGGTAAGAGGTCATGGAACAGACCCAGTCGCCATGGGTGGACTGACTGAGATGACCAGCAGATGCAGATGTATGCATGTTACATGTTAAACTTTTTTTGCACACTATGTAGCCATCCATTCTGATCAGAGATGCTTGCACCAACTATGCTCCCCACTGTGCCAACTCTCTGGGTTTTAGCCGCCCGGCGGTCCGCTCATTTTTGTGAGCATCGCTTGCCTGCCCTCATACACACACACACGCTCATTCAATGCAAAGGCTACGTTACTTCAAGCAGTGCAAGTGCAATTCACCCACAATTTAATATGCCACCCAAAACACAAAAAGCTCTTTCTTACTACTACAATTACTTTGTCTACCCGAGAAAGCCCAAGTCTCAAGACTCTTTTTCCATAGATCCTTGCTTCACAGACGGGGCAAAACCTTGCTATGCGTTGTCCGATTAAGAAATATATACTCTTTGGTTCTTTCAGTAAAGTCACGTAGGTAGAAATAAAATAAAAAAATCACGACATTTCGATCGCAACACAAGAAATCTTCATCAGGTGGAACAACCACAGGAAGAAAATGCTGAAGTAGGCGAGAGAGCTGCCGTGACAAGAGGTTATATAGGTAAGAAAGGGGGGGAGGAGCAAGGGGGGAGAGAGAGGGGGGGGGTAGGGGAAGGCTGCGTGAGCACGAGGGGAAGAGGACATGAGGCTGGGGGGGGAAGTGGGTGGGGCTAGAAGTGGGAAGCTGAGTGTGGGACAGGGGAAAAAAATAAAAATGTACTCATAAATGGCAGGTACGATGGAAACAACCACAACCAGTTAAGACATTACATGGTTAATAACATCCTTACAATGATTGTTCAATTTGTATCTATCTTCTCAGTTGAAGTTATGTCTATGTTTAAATATCTGGATGGCTTCATGAACAAACCTTTGATAGTTTCCCGAAGGTTTACAGAGTACCTTGGTCTCGGAAAAAACAATATCATGCGAGCCCATAGCGTTATAACAATGGTCAGCTACGGCAGAGGTATTGGTTCTGCCGTGTTTCAGATCTGCCTTGTGTTCGCGAACACGGTCCGAGACATGTCGTTTCGTTTCCCCAATGTAACTGCTTCCACAGGTACAACTCAGTTTGTAGACTCCAGGGTTTGCATGTCAGGAATGACCTCTTTCACAGATGGGATTAGATCACGGATTTTGTGTACTGTATTGAATCAGACCTGGATCTTGTGTTTGTTTAAGATTTTGGAAATCTTTTTGGTAACACCTGCTATGTATGGTAAAGTGAAAGTTTTGATTGGCTTCTCACGAGATTGTTTCTCCATGGTTGGAAAAACAGCTTTGCGAATAATGCGGTCCGAGTACCCATTAATCTTGAGGGCTTGGTGTACGTGTTCCAGTTCACTGGCTAGGTGGTGTTGGTCGGAGATGCAGTGGGCCCTATGGTGTAGTGGTTTGATGAGGGAATTCTTCTGGGCCGGATGGTGGTGGGAATCAGGTTTTAGATAGGAATCTGTGTGGGTGGCTTTCCTGTAGACAGTGTGTCCCAACGAGCCGTCAGGCCTCGTCTCAAACAAAACATCCAGGAATGGTAGCTTACCATCCTTCTCCACTTCCGTGGTGAATTTGATGGATGCGTGGATGGAATTGATGTGGTTGAAAAATTGGCTCAATGCTGGCAGGCCATGTGGCCAAATGACGAAAGTGTCATCCACGTATCTCTTCCACAAGGAAGGACGTAGGGTAGATGTCTGGATGGCATCTGTTTCAAATTTCTCCATGAAAACATTCGTGATCACTGGTGATAAGGGGGAACCCATGGGGGTACCTTCATTTTGTTTGTAGACGACCATTCCAGGTGAGGTGAGTGTTGGTAAGGCAGTGCCTAACCAAAGTTGGTACATCAGGATTCAGTCCATGTTGGACCAAGTCTTCAATTATTACTAAGGTGTCAGGTACAGGAACCTTGGTGAACAGACAGACTACATCAAAGCTGACAAGCAAATCATCTGGAGACAGTGAGATGCCCTCGATTAGAGAGACCAAGTGAGCTGAGTTACGTACTGCTGAGGTAGTCTTGCCTGTGAATGGAACCAAGGTCTGAGACATAAATCGGGCCAGTTTGTAGGTAGGTGAGAAGATAGTGGAAACGATGGGCCGAAGTGGAGTACCTTCTTTATTAATTTTTGGAAGACCATAGAATCTGGGTGGTCTAGCAGCAGGTTTTCTTTCTTTCTACCTATGTGACTTTACTGAAAGAACCAAAGAGTATGGATTCCTGCAGTCATGAAAACTTCAAGTCAAGCTTAATAAATATATGGAAAAATGTATCTATATTAAAATTAGCCAAATTTGACCATTATTCAAGCACACAATTATGGCTATCTAATCCTGCAGAGGCGCATCATGGTTGGTTGACACTCATATTTCTGGGCTTGTTAAAATTCACTGTAAAATTGCAGCCCGACACCACTACTTTCGCTACATTTACATCACCGCGCAGAAATTATATTGAAACATACGGTCGGAACCTCATTCCAGCACTACGGCGCAAGCACCTCTTCGCAATTACCTCGGGCACCTCCTCCTCATCGTAGTCCAGCTCATGGTCGTCGAGCTCCCTCGACGCACCGTCTTCCGGTTTGTCGGCTCCATCGCTGCCGGCGCTGGCGTCCTGGGGGCTTGCTCGGCTCGTGGCGCTGGCTGCGGCTGAGTCGCCGCCGCCGGCGACTCCACTGGGCTCGTCGGATGACGCTGCCACCGCTGCCGGAGTTTCTTCTTCCCCTTCTTCTTCTTCTTCCTCCTCCTCATCAGCCGGAGCTGCCTCCTCGTCGGTGGGAGTGGCTGCACGCACTAACATGAGGTCACGTACAGAACCAAGGTCACGCAACGACGTCCCGATGTTTCGAAGAGCCTGCGCTCGACGATTCGCTCCAGTCACTCTATCTTGCCCTCGTTCAGTATCTTCCTTGTAATCTCTTTCGTCGCTACTGCCGTGGTCATTGTTATTGTTAACTAAACGCCTTCATAACTCCACTGATGTCAATAACTTGCCTTACCAAATTGACTGTTTCCTCACATCTGGCTGTGTTTAACCACCACCACATTGCAGGACACGTAATAACTTTGTTCAATTCAGTACTCTAATCAGTTCCTACCTGCACTATCATTATTGCCCTTTGTTGTCATTCTTTTACCACTATCCTCTCACCGTGACTCTACGAGAATAAATCTTAGCTCCTATCTGCTGTCCTATCATTAGTGCTCTATGTTGCTGGCTAGAAAACTCCTTCTCATTGTCTCTTGGCAAATTCCCATCACCTCGCTCAATACAAAAACACGTTAGTGCTTATATGCTGTACAATCAGTAGGACTCTCTGTTTCTGGCTGCTTTGTGTTATAGGCCTTGTATTGAGCAACTAAGAAAAATAAATACACGATGCAGAAGAGGTAGGTGTTTGTGGTTCCGGTAGTCGGTGAAAGTTTTTCAAGGAGGCACCACGCACCCTGGCCGTCGCTCTGAGTGTTGTCATTGTCGTCAGCCACTTCAGACGAATCCGTGTGATGTGCCGTCATTGCTTCGTCATCATCCTCCTCCTCGTCCCTCTCCTCCGACAGACGGGACCCCTCCTCGCTGTGCCCTGCAGGTATCACCACAAGACAGCATCAGCTCGGTTCACCGCAAATTATGGTCAGCGTGAAGCTACGGGACCAAATGCTGACTACCACCAACAATTCTCAGAAGCTAAGCAGTGGTTAGTAATAATAATAAATTTACATTTTAACTTGTCACACGCACAGTATTCGCTCACTCTCACAGAGACAGAACGACTCAAAGGCACGGTGAATCACAGACAAGCGGGAAAGGAAGCAGCTAGGCGGTAAGCCGATGGCAAAACTTGTGCAAGCTCTGTGGTCCTTTATATATGAAGGTGTTATCGGCCAATTAATGTGTTGACATGTAGGAGGAAATTGGAGCACCTGGAGAAAACACACATGTGAGAGGGGGCAAAACTCGATCCCATACAGATGGAGCAAGTGGAGTCGACATTTGCTGTAATATTTTCTCCTGGCAAGCTAGGGTATGGCATTTTGACACCCAAGGGAGTTTTACAACATTTGTGTGAACCATAAAACCTGCCTCTACAGGGCTAGATGACAGGCATGTGCCACCACCGCAATATCTAGATGGAAGACTGCCTGGAATATCGCGTGTTGTATGCTTGGCCTGCAAGGTGTCAAGGACTGTTAAGAAAACTAAGTGGGCTTAGGTAGGAAACACAAGAAGTGACAATGGCTGGTAGTCAAGATTAAATATAGTGGCAGCCAATGGATGAAACGTGTCCATGAAGACGTCCACTGCGGAGATGAAGTGATTAAATCCAGCTTGTACGCAGGTGCTAGGCAGATTATTACACCACAGGATGGTAAGATATGGCATTGGTTTGAAATGACTTCATCCGCCAGTGGATTGATCATGGCTGATGATGAGCCAGCCAACAACGCTGCCCCCGCAACCCCATTCTGAGCGCACCATGAGCCACAGTGAAACCACTCGCCTGCATCGCTCCCATTGTCTTCTCCTTCCGAAGAATCGGCCGGCTCCGTGGGGTCCGTGTCACCGTTCGAGCTGGGGGAGCCTGAGTGGAGCGTGTCCGCCATGGGGGGGCTCTCTGGGAAGTCCATGGGAGTGGCAGCGGCGGCAGCAGCCCGAGGGACGTCTGCCGAGACGCGCGTCAGGACGTTAGCACACGAATGATGGCACGACGAAAGACAGCCTCTAAAGCACAGTTGAGCGGTAACTGTTGTTTGTTCTGCACGTTATCTATACTTCATTGTTTTTTAACATCATATTTGGTCTGCAATCACTTCCTTACTGAGAGATCAACTGAAATACCCCTTTGTTCTGATGCCTCGACATGCTCCGCATGGAAGGCGTGGTAGAAATAGTAAATGATTTGATGAAAACAGCGTTCCTGAACGATAATTGCAATTTTCAGCGTGAACAATAATTAATAGCATGCAAAAACAACCCCACAAAAAGTCGATTATTGGTTTTCCAGACATCTAATTTTTATTGATAACACTCCAAGTCCAAGACCACGTGTGGCTTTGCATCTTTTCGAATATAATGAGTGGTGACTCATGAGCCCGACTGCTGCCGCCTTTTGATGGTTGTCACCGACAAATCATATCATAATACACCGTGCGGTTTGACTATTAACACGTGCCAATGGGTTAACTTGCTAAAATGGACTATATTCTAAAATCTATTCCACAACTTTTACAATTGAACCTTATGGCGAGACGCCGGGGGATCCCATAAGCCCCTGGCTCTCGCATAAACTGCGTTGCGACGTAATTTTATGTCTGTTGAAGGCGAACGATACGGCAATCTATTCCTCACGACGAGCTCTACACGATGCGCTAATCAAAGTTTCAAAGCTTTGTTTCTTCTGCGCATTTATCCTTGCTGCGCTTGGACGACATGACAATAGAATGATCCGCGCCAGGTGGGTTGCGGCATTTATGTGCACGGTGGGACGGAGTCGCCAAAAATAAATACATTTATTAAGATATTGACTTTCGTTTATTTGGGATCCCGGGGTCTCGCCATAAGGTTCAATTGATAATCAATTTGTAAAAGGATTCCTGAAAAACCAATAATCGATTAAGAACACCTAAAACCAATGAGAGTTTAAATTAGTCGGCAGGTGACCCGGCCTATCGCAACACGAGAAGCGGTATAAGGAATTCCACTTTGTGGAAAATTAACAGCTTGGAGAGGATGATTGTCTCCACACTTGCTTTGGGCGACCAATGCTGGTGCACTCGAAAAACGCGTTGGTATCGGCGCACGTCTGTGATCCAGCACTGCGGGTTGGTGGATCACACAAATGTTGTCCAACTCCTTTCCAGTGGGCGTCAAGGTGCCATACCCTGGCTTGCCAGGAAAATTTTGAACAGAAAATGTGGACTCCACTTGTACTATATATATGGGACAGGCCGACAGTTTCACCTCCCCACATGCTTGAATTTCCTCTCACATGCAAGCACTCATTCATTGTTCGATAACACCTTAATATATAGAGGACCACAGAGGTTGGGGTGCAATTTTGCACCGGCTCACCACATGGCTGCCTTTCCGTTTGTCCGTGGTTCTTCGCGCCGGAGTCGTTCGCGAATAATGTACAGCGAGTTACAAGTTGAAATTATGGAGATGAACCCCACCGGAAGTTAATTTCAGATAGATTTTCAATTCATGAGAGTAATGCTGCAACAGGAATATAAATCACGCTGAGAAACCAGTTACAAAGAGTAGACTTAATGTCTTAATATGACAGGACGCTTAACAACTGGCTCAATGCCGCATGCAGGGTGAGAATAAAGGGCACGCACAACACTTAGCTTTACAGCTACAACAAGAGTAACAGAGGCTTTAACAACGCGCAAATCAAAATTTTTACCGAATTGGTAACGAGAGTGGTGCACGGAAGCAACAGGTGGCACCGTTCAGGACCACAGCATGGAAACTATTTGCTTTTTTCTCATAATCAAAATCCAATTGTGCTGCTATCGATATAATCTCATTAGACAACAAATTCCAATTCAGAATTATTAGAACCAGCAGTGCAAAATCATCACGTGCTACAGAGGACCCCAAATGGTGACAATAAAAAAGTACTTCAGAAGTCCCCGTCTTCAGCATCCTTCCTGTGTGCACGCGTACTTTTTACACCCCGCCCCAGCCACCAGCGTGCGTACCGTACGCTTGACGCACCCCCCCCCCCCCCGAATCCTATAGAACGCAGAAACGACGAAGGATTCATATTAACGTGTTTAAGCAAACAGATAGTCCACCGCCGGACTATCTAACTCATTTGAAGGCAATGTAGACATTATTATCAAGGCTTCAAGCACCCCCCCCCCCACCGTTTCCTATACGTACGTACATTGTCAGTAGACCCCTCCATACGCAAGCGTACGCATTTGGGTTAACCCCCCTCCATGCGTACGTACTAAATGGATGGCCCCTATCCACACTAGGGACATGCATGTTTTGATGCCCTGCAAATGTTCACATATATCAAATTAGAAAATTTACATTTTCCGAGCAGGAACATGCCAATTAATTTAGGCAAATATGCAAAAAGAAAAATGCTTTCTTGTGTGCAGTCATTGGCGACCAGGCTGAGATCATTAACTGGAGAACCTGGTATAATCTGTTGGCAGAAACCTGGACTCGACCCCAGGATCTCACTGGTGCTGTCAAAATCTCAACGCTACGCCAAGCTATTATCTGCATTAGCTACTTGGTCTTTACTGCCAATCCAGCCGACTAGAGACTATATGCATGGTGATGTGATAGAACAATCACAGAATCACTACAGTCATCTCTCACACACTCCATGAGTGTTTATGATTGTACACGTTGTGAGTAATGTGGGTGTGCTGCTTTATTTACAACAGTGAAGCATGCTTTCAATCTATGAGCGGCACATCATTGAGACTCAAGCTCCATTGCTAATACTGAACACTTTCTCTAGAGCCCCATGTACAATACTGCATTCATTCTCATTTGGCCCTTTGGTACAACTGTAGCTACTGATCAATCCATAGCTGGAGGTGGGCCTCCCCAAACCGCACGGATCATGGAGGTTAATAGACGATACTTCTCCATGCTGGTCAGTGTGCGTTCAAGATGGAGAATATGCAATCAGGCGCATAAAGTTAAGTAAAATAATGCACTGCCCTTTGCTGGTGGAGCAGATTCGGAGCAAAAGTGCAGTCGTAAGCGTACAGCGTCATGAAGCCGGTTCCCTAAGTTTGATTCCTCATTTACACACGTGGCATGTGAACCGATCCTGCCACTCACCTATCCCTTCACCAACCCACACTGACCATCACAGTGCAGTATATGGTCAAACAACCCCCATTGCTGGCACGGAGTAGGGATGCCTTCATCCAGGAGGGTTGACAAAGTAAAAAAGGAGCTGCGGATTAAACACTAAGAGGCAACAGCAGTAATTATTTGTGAATTGACGCCCATGTTTAATTCGCTCCACAAATCAAAGGGACATCGACAATAAGGATGTTTTCTACTGTCATCAGGGAGGTCAATTCGGCCAATGGCACACAACGCCAAGTTATTATTTTCCTCACCAATGTTTTTTTTTTAAATACAACATTGATGAAGTCGCACTTAAGGTGTTTATGCAACCAAACACAGCTCCAAAAACTTAACTATTTAACACAAGCACCACAACACTGAATAAGGCCACATATCGGTGGCCATGCAACGCATCTCTGCAGAAAGCCAGAACAGGGCAGGACAGAGCACTGACCATTAGGAGGAAAAATTAGCCGTATCAGTGAACTTACGAAATAAGTATCAGTTTAATTAAAGTAATGAGTCTTACTGTGATTGGGGAAATAAATAACTCGACGTTGCAGGCGACTGTCCTACGTTGCGTTGAGACTGGCCCCAATACAAGCAACTCGTACGCAGCACACTTACCAACTTATCATTTATTAGAAACATTGTTAACAGTAAAAAGGCAACGTATAACCACATAACTGCCAATTATAGCCGTGGTCGCAGAGGGGAGGTTGGGTTTTGTAGGACTCGTCCTCCGCCCCACCGAGCCTCATCCAGAGGTAGTCAGGAGGACCAGGCAACTCCGAAGGCTTAAAAATCAGCGTAGGCCCGACTAGGCCTCGGCGGGGTCTTTAAGCTGGCGCGAGCGCCACTCTTGTTAAACCCGGCTGCCTGTCACTTCCATCCTTCACGAGTTCACTCACCGCACTCACCGCTCGGGCTAGCAGTTTGGCGGGCTCGCGAGCCGGCAGAGAGCGACGAGGCTGTGGGTCGCACCGGTCAGCCGGGCTTGATGCTGCCTCGCGGCGTCTAACGGCCACCATAGGCGTGCGCCGATTGGCTCGTGGTGCGTCACGTGCCCCCCCTCCCCACTCGCGAGCGCCGTCATCGCGGGTGTAGCGATGCGCGAGCGCTGCCTCCCATCCACGTGAGGCTTCCCCCCAGCACCACCCCCCAGCACCACCCCCAGCACCACCCCCCAGCACCACCCCCAGCACCACCCCCCAGCACCACCAACCCCACCACCAACCACCACCAACTCCAACCACCACCACCAACCCCAACCACCACCACCAACCCCAACCTCCACCACCACCCCCCACCACCACAAACCCAACCACAACCACCACCACAAACCCAACCACAACCACCACCACCAACCCCAACCAACCACCACCACCAACCCCCACCACCCCCCACCACCACCACCCCCCACCACCACCACCCCCCACCACCACCAACCACCACCACCCCCACCACCATGAGGCTGCGTACACGTGGGGCTGGTGCGTGACCGAAATCGACCCCCCCTATACCCAGGAGCATCCCCAAGCGTGGAGACAGCGTGTCCCCGCCGCCTGTGGTGGCCAAAGCGCCTCCCCTCCCCCCCCCCTGACAAGTGTAAAATAACACTTATTTTGCGAATGCGGAGCCCTCTCCGCCCCGACAGCATTAAATTATTGAGACCGTGAGCGTAATAATGTGATTAGGCAAGAGGAGCCGCGATATATAATAGCCTAAGGTGCGACCGTGCTAGGAGAAATTTGAGACAGATGCCATCCAGACATCCACCCTACGTCCTTCTTTCTGGAAGAGACACGTTCGTCATCTGGCCACATGGCCTGCCAGCACTGAACCAATTTCTCAACCACATCAATTCCATACACCCGTCTATCAAATTCACCATGGAAGTGGAAAGGATGGCAAGCTACCATTCCTGGATGTTTTGATCGAAAAGAGACCTGATGGCTAGTTGGGATATTCGGTCTACAGGAAAGCCACCCACACGAATGCCTATCTAAAGCCTGACTCCCACCACCATCCAGACCAGAAGAATTCCCTCATCAAAACACTACACCATAGGGCCCGTTGCATCTCCGACCAGCACCACCTAGCTAGTGAGTTGGAGCACGTACACCAAGCCCTCAGGATGAATGGATACTCGGACCGTACAATCCGCAAAACTGCCTCCCCAGCCATGGGGAGACAACCTTCTGAGGCTCCAACCAAAACCATCACTTTACCATACATAGCAGGGGTTATCAAAAATATTTCCAAAATCTTAAACAAACACAAAATCCAGGTTCGTTTCAACACAGTACACTAAATTAGTGATTTAATCCCATCTGTAAAGTATGTGATTCCTGACATGCAATACCCTGGTGTCTCCAAACTGGGTTGTGGTTGTGGCAGCAGTTACATTGGGGAAACGAAACGTGTCTCGTACCGCGTTCGTGAACACAAGGCAGATCTGAAACACGGTAGGATCAATACCTCTGTCGTTGCTGATCATTGTTTTAACGCTGTGGGCTCACACGAAATTGATTTTTCCAAGACGGAGGTACTCTGCAAACCTACTGGCTACCTTCAGAGATTTGTTCATGAAGCCATCCAGATATATAAACACAGACACAACTTCAACCGAGATGAGTACAAACTGAGCAATCAAGGTAGTCTAAACCGACTGTGATGTTTCCATCCTACCTGCCTATGTCAGCTGTTATTTCAGACTCTGTCTCTCTATGACTTTGGATTGCACTCTCATGGTGCTAATCTCTCATTAACACTGCTGTTGTGCGCATATGCGGGCATATGGAGCATGATACTCTTATGCGGCTACGGAAGCTCATTCATGCTAATCTCCCTCCCTAATCCCTCTCTGCCTAATCTCCCCCATTAAAACAACTGACGTGCTTATGTCCGTGGATGGAATTCCTTTCCAGCTCAGACCCCGCTTGCTTGCCCATCGCCACGTATATAACCTCCTTGTTGCAACTGCTCTCTGGCTGGTTCAGCAGTTCCACTGCTGGATTATATTTTTTTCCGCCTGAGGACGACCGCTTGTGTTGCGATCGAAACGTCGTGATTTTTTTTTTATACCTACGTGACTTTACCGAAAGAACCAAAGAGGATGGATTCCTGCAGTCACAAAAGCTTAAAATCAAAATTAAATCAAATATTGCCGCACCCGCTGAGCTGTCGTTACCATGCGAATGACAGTGTAGGTACGACACCACTGATAATGTACTACGCCACTGGAATTGCCCCCCACATGATAGGGCCATCACTTCACATGGCAGGCATGGCCACCTATTACACTGATAATAGGTGCTTTGAAAAGGGGCCATTTGCCCGAAACGTTGCCCGTTATATATTTGCTTTCAATGCAGTGATATCGAGGAACGTTTCATTTATCTATGCTTGTACACCAGTCAACGTAGGATTACCAAAACAATACACGGCATTACACTGGCGGACGATGACTCTTGCTATAAAAAGCAAACCCTGGAACCATATCGTTCACCTGTCCGATGCTTCGCTCATTCGTCGGCAACGTTACACGTTGACATATCACTTCCGGAGCCCTCGGACTGACTCGCCAATCTCGCCATCAACATACATTGCCTAATCACCCCGTTTTCCGATTATGCTTTGCAGCTTAAGTATGCGATCTTGCGTGTATGTGTAGATCTGCCCTTTGATCGGTGCTCGCTAACAGCACTTGCCTCAACAGTCAGTTAAGGCTATACGGGGGATCTTTGTCTTCGCACTGCCATTTTTGTCAGCGCAATGCTAGACGAGGACTCCTCTATGCTGTGTGGGTCGTGGGGGTTATTTGACCAGGCTTCAGCACTCTGCTGACTTGAGGGTAGTGGTGGGGAGCATAGACGGCAGAGCTTAGTGCAGTACGATATATTTTGTTGTGCACCCCTCTGCTGCTCACGTTGACCCCCCCCCCCTCAGCCTATAACACCTGTTATATGAAGTGGTCGCTTATATTATCAAAGCACGATTCGCCGTTATCTGGTGCATTCCTGCTGATTTGGTCATAGGCAATGTCATCTTGACACGTGTTATGGACCTGTTCTAGATTGAAAACTAATTTCTTTAGAAATGCTTTGTGTTTGTTTGTCCTTCCCCTGCACCTCCGATCAGCACGATTGGCTATACACGGTGTGAAAGAAGTTCAACATATATACATTCATTCTAGATTTTAAGTTTTCGCGACTACAAGGATCCATACGCTTTGGTTCTTTCGGTAAAGTCACGTAGGTAAAAAATAAAATAAGAGATAAAAATAGAAAAATAAATCAAAGTAAATTTAATCACGTTTCGATTGCAACACAAGCAATCATCATCAGGTGTGAAAATCACAGTAAAAAATTCAAGCTGTGATTTTCACACCTGATGATGATTGCTTGTGTTGCAATCGAAACGTCGTGATTTTATTTATTTCTATTTATTTTTATCTCTTATTTTTTTACCTACGTGACTCTACCGAAAGAACCAAAGAGTATATATAAATTCGTTGAACACTTTACAGAAGCATACACTTTCTATATTAGAGGCTATTGAACGATTATACTTTATCACCTTTGAAAAAACACGACCACACCTGCACGCACAGCACATTTATGATAACAAATGTTCACTTTATGTACACATTACATTGACAGCTCTTTGTGAATCCACTGCTCTATAAAGGCATCTAATGCTGTATTGATCTATATACATATTGTGCATGTCAAACCATTACTGGATGAGGACTTTCCCATGACCTGCAGGCAGTCAGAGTTATTTTGACCAGTCAGTATTTATGGCCAGTCATTGCGGTTTGTTGAAGGTGGGAGTACAAACGGTGGATGTTGTTGGACTGCACTCTCCTGCCCACACCACCTATTTAAACCCATTTCATCCACGGCGGTCACACATCCAAGCACTGTCCAGGCTCAAGCATGCTTAGCTTCAATTATGATGGGACCGGGCTCATTTTGGGAGATTTGGTGATAGGCATGTACACATGCGTATATAATTGGATACTTTACATTAACAAGTGTGTAACGCTTTGAGGCAATTAATCGTTTTCCGCTTGAGTCACACTTTGTAGACCCAGGCTTGTGGTGAATGTGGGCTTCAGGAACCCAGCTTGGATGGGCTTCACACTCTGTGAAAAAAACAATTACAAGTTCCTTTACTTAACACCAAGGAACATTCCATTGAGAACAGACGTCCCTATTTAAAACAGGCATGTGAACGTTTAAGTGGAAAGAAAAAAGGAAGACAGAGACTAAGATGGGCAGATATTGTCGGAAATTTAACCAGGAGAGAGTCTACCAATGTTACAGCAACATGGGGGCCCAGCGTCACATGTCAGCCTCCTATGTTCCAAGGGCCATGCATGGTAGGTGAGTGGAAGTTGACTCACAAAATTAAACGTTTGATGATGATGCGTTGGAAGCGGTGCATTATCACAAATAACAAAACCATCAAGACACACTGTGGCCATAACAGGAATTGAAAAAAAAATCACATGCGACGTTTCAGGCAATGGTCCTTCTTCATAACAAGAGAGATCACCTGGTTGAGGTGTTCCTGGATGACGCACGCCTCTTCCAGCGCCTCCTTGGTTCCCCTGAACTCGGACACCACCTCATCTGTAAGGGCCAGTTCACAGCGGGTTTCAGTAATGAGGTGGCCGGATAGCAAGCAGTCGGGGAGATCCGTGATGGCCATGTCGGAGACACTTGGCCCAGCACTTGAGGATACGGGAAGGAAGTCTGGGTTTCATCCTTCGGCGGATATAAACACGCGTTTAGATTATTTTCGCCGCTATAAATGTCCACATGATAAGCCACTTTGTTGAGCGATCGTTTGTGGCCAGGTAGCTTTTGAAAAAGCGAATAGCTCAATGGGCTTTACCTGGTAAGATAAAAAAAAATTGTTTAGTTTTATTTGTATACATTTTTGTAGTGATTTGTTTACCTTTCCCATACTTTGCACTCCTATCGTGTTTTTTGTATTGTTTGTTGTTGTAACGTTCTGACCTGCCCCTACTTGAAATGTGCAAAAAATTGCTTTATAGCTCATCGGATTCCTCCAGCGTAAAGACATAGTTTAGTGATCTGGTGGTCTCAGAGCTCAGTCAGAAATGTCACTCCACTGCTGGATGAGGGCTTCCCCGCACCCTGTCGTTCACAGCAGTTATTTAACCACAAACTAAGGCGAGCGTACACGTGGGAGCATATAATCATTGTACACAACTGTTGTTGCTTCACTACCGGATGCTGCCCCATAACGTTGCCCCACAGCAGCCTATAACACCTGTGGTGCACGGTGACAACGCACCCGAGCACTAGCCAGGCTCAAGCCGGATTCGCTTCCAAGACTAGGCGCATTTCGGGCCTAGGAGTTTCACGAGTAAAATTATGCGTGAGGTAATGTACTGATGGATGTGCTGGCCCCCGTCATGGGAACGTGGAACGTGGTATTGTTGTCCGCTCACCGAGGGTCCCGCACAGGGACCGCAATTCCCGCAGCGTCTCCTCCAGCTCCGCGTTTCCCGCCATTTCCACCACGCGAGTAATCGATTCCTTGAATCCGCGAATCACTGCAGTGTAGGTACGCATTGAGTAAATTACGATCGCTACGTGGTAGAAGTGCCATAGATAAATAGTATAAATGTATTATATCCCAAATGCATGTATTTGTTACGATACGTTCATGGAATCTTGCGTCGAACGAATAAAATCCGATTTTCCTACGTTGTAAGTAAAATTCATTAATCGATTCCGCAAGTAAATCGATTCTAATGTTCAACAGTTCAGTCGTAGCCATACGAATGCATTCTTTAATCATTTACAATTACAGTATGTACACTCTATATTTAAACCCCAATATATTCATATGTATGGTTCTAAACGCAAACAATGCAGTTATCTTCAAATGTTGGGTTGGTAGTGGTGCAACACTCCAATTTTCCGACTCGCTGTTTATGTGCTATTAAGGGCCATTGCGCGAAACGCCGCCAATTATTTTTTTCTTGTAAGGCCAGTTATTTATTGAATTTATTTATTTTAGAACAAAAAATTAACACAATTGTCAATAACAGTGCCCTTAAAATAAAAATGTATACCCTCAATCCACGTATTGTGCTATGCAGAAGGGCCATCGGCGCGAAACTTCCCTTTTTCAAATATATTTATTTGATTTTAAGGCAACAGTGCTATTACAGTACTAACGAATTGTGTTGAGTGTTTTAATCATTGTGGTTATGCAACACAGCCAACACAGCAAAAGTGGCATCGCCACCACATGGCGTACTGTACTGGCATTGATGGCAAAACTCCGCCCACTAATGGAAGCCCCGCCTCCTGGTGATTGAAGCTCCCCCTCTTAATTATTGTAGTCCCGCCTCCTAATTATTGAATCTCCGCCTCCTGATTATTGAAGCCCCGCCTTAGTCCCGGAAGCTCCGCCTGCCTTACGTTCTTCCCATCACCGCTGTGGCACTGGGCAGCGGACGCGAGACCCGTGGACAATGTGGAAGGTGCTTCAGCAACAACCCCCACCCCTACCCCGACGCGTGGCCTATGTTGTGTGTGTAACAACGATTGCGCGTTAATCTTGTATGCAGTGCTGTGAACAATGTCAGATGTAACAATGGCAAGCCGCTGTGTATTGTCAAGCGGTCCCGCGCTCTGACCAGCAAACGCGTGCGGTCAAACCACCCCCGCGTGCGTCCAGCAGCGGACTGATCGGCGGCCGTAAGTCGATGAACTCTGAGCATTCCGTGTAGTCGTGGGCTTAGTCGTGGGCTTAGCCGTAAGTCGATGGACTCTGAGCATTCCGTGTAGCCGTGGGTTTAGCCGTAAGTCGATGAACTCTGAACATTCCGTGTAGCCGTGGGCTTAGCCGTAAGTCGATGAACTCTGAACATTCCGTGTAGTCGTGGGCTTAGCCGTAAGTCGATCAACTCTGAGCATTCCATGTAGTCGTGGGTTTAGCCGGCTTTGTGCACCAGTGGGATCGATGTGACAATTGTGCCGTGACAGTTGTGAGAGTTGTGGTTCGATTGCAGCCCCGGTTCGCCCTGTTCGTGGTTCATTAAAAGTTTAAACTGTTGTTTGTGTTAAGGACATCAAGACTATTATTGTAGTTGGTAGTGAATGGCAAAGTTGAAATAGCAACTGGTTCATCCGAAACTCGTTTTCAATACGACCATCTATTTGTTGTTATTAGAAACATTTAAAACGTCAACAAAAATGTTGTAATTATCACCATCATCGTCACTATAATATCAGTAATACAGTGTAACAATAATAATGTTCAACCCATTGTCAATCTGTTACTGGATAGAGGCCTGCCGTGTCACAGTCACCGGGCTTGTTTGACTATGCTGTAATGTGTAATGTACTTGACAACGCTGGTGAGATGTTAACTATTTCGCCTGATATACAGGAGTACGTGGGTTCGATCCCGACTCTGACGCCTCTACGTTTGGAATCGGCGTGGCACGCAGATTTTTCTCTGGGTCCTCCGGTTTTTCCGTCCACATTTAGAATCCACGCGCGTTTAGGGCATTTGGCTGCTATAAATATACACGTGGATAAGCCACTTAGTTGACCTATATCATTTTTGGCCAGATCGCGTCTGAAAAATATCTGTATAACTCGGTGGGTCTTACGTGGTAAAAAAAATAGTTTTGTTTAATAGTGTATTTGAATTATGTGTGGAGGTGGTCTGAGGACCGGTTCAGATATGACTCACGAACTGATGTTATCTGTGGTCAGGAATCGAACTCTTCTTGCCGAGTTCGTAGTGCGGTGTGTGAATGATTTTGTCATCTCTCCATAATGATAAACACTGTGTAATCACTAACCATCACTGTTGTCATCCTCACCATCACTATCATTGTCACAATCGTCTTGCTCATAATACTGGACTTGTTATTGTGTGTTTGCTATATTTCACTCGACACCCAGAAAACCCTTGCTAACGAGATGTTCCATCTCTTGGGATTATCCAGGTGAACATTGTAATTTATAACAAGAATGCAAGCGTTGAAACATTAGGAATATGCAATGCTGTGCCATGTATAATGAGGACCATTAGAACGCTAACTTTTTCCAAACGCAGTATTTACACGTGCAATATGACACAGGAACCTTGAGGCCATCACTGTATTCCAAGTGGTATGGTTGGTGTAGTGGTTTGCGCAAGGCGCTCTGAACCCATTCAACTTGAACTTGATTACCAGCCACGGCTAACGTCAGTGGCGAATGATATCTGAAGAAGTCCGAGCTCACGCCCCCCAAGTCCCCACCAAGTTTATTTTCTTTAACAAGATGAATACTCAAGAGGCCAGGATTAATCTCATTTACAAGAGTTACTGACCACGGTTACCAAAATGACAAAAGTAAAACGAAGGAAATCGAAATAAAAAACCAACTGCGTCACATGACTAAATATTTCAGTGCTGGCTCGAGCGATGGGACCTCTGAGCTACCCGACGACCCCCAAAACTTCCAGAGTTTAACGCAGCAAATCATCGGCACCAACGAGAATCTGTTTAGAAGGAAATTGCATTCGAACCAGTAAAAACGGTTGCACAAAGTGTATGAATGTGACCGGACCTCAAGATGCTGTACAATAAATGGGGGAAAAAGGTATTTTCAAAGAGTCTGAGAAAGGAGAAGCATTTATTAGTGATTAATTCAATCGATACGATGCCCATTTTGCCCAGCAATTGCAAACTATTGGATAAATATTTTTTATAAGTAAAAGCAAATGTTAGCCGATTTTTTAATCTCCAATCTGAAACCCCTTCGCGAAGGCTAAAAAGGCCGGCGCCTCGTCGCAGCGAACACGACAGCACGCGTCGACACGACCGTAATTAACGTGCAACCTCACTCTGACCAGCATGGCGACATTATGGTCAAACAACCCTCATAACCGACATGGCTTGGGGAGGACTTCAGCAGTGGATTGACAAAGGGCTGTAAGCTATGGAATAGTGGTCATCAGCCATGGGTGGTTTCCCACCATGACCTCTGTGCAGACTTGGACCTAATCCAAGGAACATAACATGTTTGTGTTTCGTGTCCCTGTATTTTCACAGTACGTGTGGTTTGTTTCTGCCTTTGATTCTGCGACTTGCTGGTTTGTCCAAAATACACTTGTCGCAAGTGGAACATGCTGTCGGAAAGCAGCACATTAATTCAATTACCTACAATCATCGCAATGCGAGAACCTTCTGAAAATCGGTCTTAATCAATGGAATAATAAACGTGGAACACACAATACATACGGTAGAAATTAAACGGAACAAATGGGAGACGATAATAAGTATGAGACAACACGGACAATACACAAGATACAACAAATGAGACAAAATAAAAGAGATGATACAAACGAGACTGAACAAATGAATCAGTCATTAGACAATACAAATGAAACAATGCACCAGACTAATATCACAGATCAACAAAACTATAACTAACTTTCAGAAAAAAATATAACCGATTCTTGCGGAGAGCATGACTATTTCATCGTTTCTCCCTAGCTGATCCTGCTGCGAATCCCTGCCCCCGTCCGCCAGCTACGATCAAGCCTACACCAACCCCTCCTTAACCTTTCTCACCTGTCCTAACTGTCACCATAACTACACCAACACTTTCAACAACCCCAATCTTTATGTCAAGCACTATCACCTTACGTACAATTTTATAACTGCTGTGAAGCGCCTTGGAATAAGGCGCTGTATAAATCTAAACAAGCTAAGAGGTATAGGCGGCCGGCTGTGCGCATCGCCGCTAACTGCTCGTTTATTACCCCCTTCCGCGAGATAGCAGCGGCTGCGTGAGGCGCTGCTGGTGTTGGGGGGTGGTGTCGCCATCTTCGCCGGGCACGCCACCGTCTCGGGCGATGAGCGGTTCTATCGCGAGCTGCTCATGCCGGCGCTGCGTCGAGTCGTGCCGCCTGAGGCGGCGCACACGCTCTCCATCCGCCTGCTGGCGCTGGGCCTCGGCCCTCGCCTACGCCCCACACGGAACGACGGCCCTGCGCTGGTGAGGTCCGGCGTACGTGTGGGAGCGGTCAGTCAGCCGTCGTTCTGCCGCCACACCGCCGACTCGCCGTGGTTGCGTTGAACAGGGGGGTGGGGAACCGACGGGCCAAGCGCACACCTTCCAACCTCATTCCGTATGGCCCAAAGGGCCACAACGTGAGGTCTACCACTCGAAATAGCCCTTCAAATCATAATTGGCCTGACGAGCACGGCTTCTAATTTTAGCGTTGTGCTCAGTCGCTTTTGTCACTGAAAGCGCCTCTCATAGTCACAGAAGTGGCTGCGTGTTCATCCATGGTGGCCAGCTAAAGGTATCTTCAAAGTCCTATTTGTCTCTCAGTAAGGAAAAGGTTCCCTACTTCATGGCTTAGTGGCATCACAGTGGCTCTCAGTACTACGAAGACCCCTTGCCATCGTGGCTTTGGCAGCACTGATTGTGGATGACCTGTGTTGACGCTATGCTCGGGATGGACTACGTGGGAGGTGCGGTATAACTGTACGACGAGGGTGGTGATGATGACTTCATTCTGCGCCCTCGTCCCCACAGGAGACGCGCGTGTTTGGCCGCACGTTCGCAAACCCCGTGGGCATCGCGGCCGGCTTCGACAAACACGGCGAGGCAGTGGACGGCCTCTTCCACCTGGGCCTCGGCTTTGTGGAGGTCGGCAGCATCACTCCGCTCCCGCAGCCCGGAAACCCCAAGCCTCGCGTGTTCCGGTTGAGCGAGGACAGCGCAGTCATCAACCGGTGTGTCGGGACTACTCCCCTCTGGCTGCTCCCCTCCCACCCCTGCCACCCCCTCGCTGTACGGATTTAGTATCGACACGTCTTGTGTTGATCTTAGTCGTGGGGATCTTTTTGTTTTGATTGTAGTTGCGTATCCTCCGTCAATCACCGAGGTTGCTTGAGCCTCTGTCGTAGTGTCACGGGATGAGAGATATTTACATTAATAAATGGAAATCTAAGAGCAGTATTTTTTTATGGCAAGCGGACATCTTATGTATGTAGCCAACCGTGCTAATCGGAGGTATGGGGAAGGTGACATCACAGAACTACTTTTGAGGTTCAATCTGTTGACTCTTATCCACACTATGTGGTACTCCACTATAAAATGTGTTCATCACATTAAATTCTAAATTAATATTTGACAACTCTGTTTAACCACAACTCGGTCAGTGCAAGTCTATGGGCTTCTTTGTGAGTCATTAGGCCTCTGTGTGATTCTATGGGCCTCTATGCGATTCTGTGGGCCTCTGTGCAAGTCATTGGTAACCAGACTGAGACAATCAACTCACTCCTCTTGAGGATCAAGTTTAATCACACAGGCAGCTGAAACCCTCAAGTGACCCCAGGATCTCAGTGGTACAGCTGGATGTTGATTGCAGAGCCATTAGCTCGGTCGGTGGATCACACAAATGTTGAGAAACTTCCTTCCCGTTTGCGTAAATGTGTCATACCCTGGCTAGCCAAGAGAATGCAGTACAGCAAATGTAGACACCCACCTGTTCCATCTGGATGGGATGGAGCGCTCCCTCGAATGTGTGGGTTTCTCCAGGTGCTCCTTTTTCCTTCCGCATGTAAGTACTTATAAGTTGACTGGTAACACCTCGATACACTCTTTTCTCCTATAACGTTGCAGTTGCATTCCTAAAGAACACCTCGTTATGGAAAAATGGCGTTATAATAATTTATATAAGGTAAAGCACAGTTCGCGATAACACGTGAGTTGCGTATGCAGGCTGAACAAAGACTGAGGCGCATGGGCAGCATCTCGAAGCGTCCAGCAGCATCCCGCCTTGTGCGATGCTCCACCTCGGCAGCCGTCCAACTGCTTATTCCTACTAGCACAACGTAGTTCTGTTCACTCAAGCGTGTTCTATCCAATTCGTGTCCGCGTATCAAAACAATGTGCTCCCGTATACATTAATCGCGTTATATCTAATTCGCGTTATGAAGACACGTTTTCAGAGAAGAGGCTATATATTGATAACCGCAGAGCTTGGACGAAGGTGGAGGGGGGGGGGAAATTGTCTCCAGTTCACCGCCTGACTACTACTGATTTCCCGCTCGTCTCTGGCTCCTCTTCGCTCCTCCGAGTCATCTGTGCACGGCATGTTACGAGTTCAAATGATTTATTACGAACCTCTTGAGTCGCCTCTAGCAGCACTGACGCTGTCTCTGCTTTGCCATGCCCCTTACCCCGCAGGTACGGGTTCAACAGCGACGGGCACGAGGTGGTGGCGGCACGTCTGGGGGCACGGGCGGACGCGCAGAAGGAGCTGTCTCGAGGTGTGTGTGTGTGTGCGTGCTTGTGTGTAGGGCACTAGCGTGTGAGTGCTGCAGTCTTCGTACTGCTCTTGGGATTTAAACGAATACTAGCTATACTTTTTCCCCAATGTCCGTTTGAGTTTTGTGATGGACTGCCCGTTCAGCACTCTCACAGAGCAGCGCATCGCCCTGAGCTTGAGGAGATCGACTTCTAAAAAACACGTAAAGTGACCTTTTAATATCGACACGCTAGGGGGCGCTGCTCTTTCTAAAGTGTTGATGGTGGTGCTGCTGATGATGGTTGTGTTTTGAATGATAAATTTGATTATAAAAGTTATTATCATGATCATCCTCCTGCTGATGATTATGGTGGTAGTAGTAGTCTTTTGAATGATGATGATCATGGGCTAAGTCAAGCCCTGACCGCCTCCAGTTTTACACAGCCTCGCACCTACACCCTCGCACTCTCTTCCATCGCACGCGATGGTATGGTGATAGTGCTGCTGCTGATGATGGTTATGCATCAGATGATGATGACGACGACGACGATGATGGGTAACAGTGGTGGTGTTTTGGACGTGATTGTGAGGGTTGGGTCCGTCGGGTCTGTCAGGTCATCTTTTCAACCCCTCATACCAATGCAGCCCACGCGTGCTCCCAGCACACAACCACTGCTCAGCGCGGCTCGACCGAAACATAAAACTTTTAATAAAAACACAAACATATTGCAAAACAATCAACCTACTCGCGTCTACCCCGAAAAGTCACGCAAACCGCACGTTGGGATCTCGACTCTGTAAACTCCTCCTGGCCTAGTGCCGGAGCGGCTTACAGCCTCAGACTCCTGAGCTCTGATGCAGCAGCAGTTTGCAGCCTCAGATCCCTGAGCTAGACTCAGGAGTTTGCAGCCTCAAACTCCTGGTCTCCGATGCAGTGAAGACACGCCTGTCACTAGTTTGCAGCAGGGTGAATGCCTGGGAGACTCGTTGACTCTGTTCTGTTGGCATCGAAGGCCAAAGGGTCACAGTTTGCAGAAATGTGGAGGGCTGGGAGGTTCATCACCGGCGAACTCTCCCTCCTTGAAAGCGTACGGCGGTGCCGGGGCACGACCACCACCAAAACGCCGCGATGGCCAGGAGTAGCCTAAATATCACTCTGCCTGAAACATTGAACCTGTTCATACACTCCCTATATCAAACAATGTAGATGAAAACTCAGCTTCAATACTCTCTCTGCCTGAATGACTCTGAAACGTTTTGTAAAAATATTTCTCTTGGGCTGTCTTCTTTGCCTGAATGACTTTAAAACAACCTGTGAATAACGTTTCTCCAGGACTCTGTCTCTGCCTGAAAACTGAAATATAAAATATGATCACACCATGAGTGAGTAATGTACCTTTTAAATTAACATCTCAGAGATTACTTTATCAAGGTGCACCTGTTGAAATTTGGAAAACACCATTACCAGTTGATCAATTCATCTGAGGCCTTAAATATAACCAATGTAAAATAACTAAACATTTAATCGATATTGCCCCAATGCATAGCTCATGTGTGCACACCTGCATTATTGAATACACATTTTTTTAAACCTGCTTCTGTGACCGTGTTTTTCTCTGTCTCCAAAATGTTTTAAACATTATTCCCCCAAAGTATGACTAACATCTCTACACTCCCATCCATCACTTATCAGCTCCTCTGGCTCAGCAGACTCCCGCACCCCGGATATTCTCTCCAGCTCTGCAGAAGATGGCACCTCGTGCGCCTTTTCCAGCCGAGGTCGGGCTTCCACGTGGTGTCAGGCCGCAACTATTGTGTGTGCCTCTCGCCCTCCCGCAGTCCTCGAGCGCACCTTGTCGCACGGAGGCACCAGCAGCTGAGAGGGTGGAGTCGCCTGCCTCACGTTCCACCCTCTCAACATTAACTTTGAGGCGACTACGTGGCCACGCCATGCTGCCGCAACCCAGCATTGCGCTCCTTGAACGCACCTCATCGCCCCGAGGCACCAGCAGCTAACAGGGTGGAGTCACCTGTCTCATGTTTCATCCTCGTAAACTTTAAATTTGAGGCAACCACGTGGTCGCGCCGCATGGCCACGCCATGCTCCCCGACGCTCATCTCTCTCCTCTCTCTGGGACTCCTCCCCTACTGTCACTCTCTCGGGGCTCCTTTCTCACATGTTAGTCTCCCCATCCTGCTTATGAGACACCTACCCCTCCCGCAACACGCAGCGCTGAACCGAGGAAGGGGCGGAATGAGGGGGAGGGCAGGGACGAGGAGAAGTGGCTCACAAGGGCAACTACAGTGATGTTGATAATGCATTAGATTATATAATATTGACGGGCTTAGTTAACCTCCAGCCAATGTAGTTTCTCACGATTGTCATCCCCTCTCTCCCTCTGGCTCGCTTCGCCGCAGGTGGGCATCCCCTTGGCATCAACCTGGGCAAGAACAAGCTCTCGCCCAGCGCCGCGGATGACTACGTGGCGGGGGTGACGCGCTTTGGCCCGCTGGCCGACTACCTTGTGGTGAACGTGTCTTGCCCCAATACGCCGGGCCTACAGGTCCTTCAGGGATGCTCCGAACTCAGGGCCCTGCTGCAGCAGGTGACGACTGGTTGGGGTCGCGGAGGGAGGGTCATTCTTGAGGTCATAGTCAGGGTCACGATAGAGGTGGGGGCCATCGTCGCGGTCACTGCCGCAGTTTGGGTCGAAGTCGAGGTCAAAGTTGAGGTCGACCGTCTGTGCAGCAACAGCACTTGCCCCAGCAGTCTGTTTGGAGCGCGTGTACGTTTATGTACGTGTAATGAGCGACTTCCGAGACACGTCGTGTAGAGGGTATTTTTTCTTTATTTACTCACACTGGGCACAACACAGGCCAACACTTGTTCTTCCTCACACTGAGTACAACACTACATATTAACGTCTATACTGGCTACACACACAGCCGATCACTCGGCGTGGTCCCATTGCTCCCACTCGGCTATGCCGCTGGCTGGTGGCGTGACGATGATGGCGATGGAAACCACGCAGGGGATCTTCCACGTGGCCGGACGACTCGCAGCCAGGACCCAGGACCCCACACACGAGCCACGAGCTCTGGGTCCGCTCCCCCTTATATCCCCCCAGGCGTGCCTAGGCCCCGCCTCCGGCCACGCCCTCTCATGGAACCTTCGAACAGGTTCCCGGAGTATCTCTGCTAACCCCACCTGCTACCTTTGCCACAGATACACCTCCTTCTCTGATTGGTTGTTACTTCTGTGCCCGTACCCGTGAATCTCTTTCCAGGCCAGCAGGTGTCACCCTGTCATTACATATTGAACCCGAGTTCGATTCCCGCTTAAGGGGCCAACACCGGTTGCAATGGTGTGGACCAGTCCTGGGCCTCCCCTAGGTTGACTCCGCCTTAAATTGGAACCTTTTGCTGTGTGTAAACATCACCACTGGGGAGACAAAGGTGGTCGGGCATCGTGCTGCCCACCCCCTCGTGTGTCGTGTCAACCTTCATAGGTGCTCGCTAACAGCACTTGGTCCAATGGTCTATGTAGGCTGTATGTGTTGTGTGTGCGTGTTGCGCAGGTTGTGCGTGCGCGTGACGCACTGCCCACTCCACACAGGCCGGCCTTGCTGCTCAAGATCGCGCCGGACCTCACCGACGAGGCCAAGCGCGACATCGCAGCCGTTGTCACGGAGGTCAGCTTCCACAAACTTTTATTCATAGCTTTGTCCACGCCGCTGTACATCCAACTCTGACTGTAAGGGCGGGGGGATCCACCACGCTGGTGAAGTATGGTGCGTGGTAATGTGCGGCCCGTCAAAATATCTGTCCGGGTTTGGTGACCCGGAAAATTACCGAGACGTGCGGTGGTGCATGTGCGATCTCTGCTATTCCCCGCGTGGCACAGATGGGTGTGGACGGCCTTATTGTGAGCAACACCACTTTGAGCCGGCCGGCGGGCCTGCAGTCTGCTCACCGCACCGAGACCGGGGGGCTGAGCGGGGTGCCGCTCCGAGAGCTGTCCACGCAGACCGTGCGAGACATGTACAAACTCACCGGAGGTCGGCTCCCATCCACGCACCCACTCACGCACCCACTCACGCAACCCACTCACGCAACCCACTCACGTACCCACGCACCCACGCGTGCATACAACAATAGCAACTGCCGTTCAGTGGTGGTGATGACACCATTGCGCTTGTGCCATGCTAGTTGCACTTTGAGCCCATGTGAAGTGTCATAGACCTGCTGGCAGGAGGTCACGGAACAGACCCAGGTACTATGGGTTTACTGACTGAGACAACTGTCAGATGCATCTACTGTACCAACTCTCTGAGCTTTGGCCACCTGGCGCTTCGCTCATTGTTATGAGCGTTGCTTCACTGCCCTCTGTTGTTGCTGGAGGGCGACTGCCTCCACTCCCCAGCAGTGTTTATCACGAACCTCCTCCAAAGCGGCCGATTTTGACACTGCTAGTACCGGTCTTCCGCAAGTCCACTCGGCTCCAAATCCTTCTGTATCACATCAGTCTACCTCTTCTTTAGCCCATGCCATGCCCATTTAGCCCCCTTTATCCGGCCGAATAGAAGCTGCATGGGCACACGTGTATACGCACGGATGTGTACATGTCTGCACGCACACGTTCAGAGACGGGCACAGACAGACGAGCTCAACACATGGCTGTACACACGTGCATGCAGAGATGCACGCACAGGTGCACGTTTATACTCGAGCACTCACAAAACCACATGGGATTGTACGCAAATGTGTTCACACACACATGCATACATGTACACACACCAGACAAATATTCCCCAGTAGCCATACAGAACTGTTGGGGCAAGTGCTATTAGCGTGTACCTGTAAAGGCCGGCATGGTACATAACAGGGTGGTTGGCCATCACTACGCCTGGCCCCCAGTGCTGATGTTTATACACCACACCAGGTGCTCATTTAATGATAATACATTTTATTTGTGAGCGCTTTTCTGAATACTCATACACTTTACATAAAATCATAAAAGCAGCAAAAACAACATCAAATGGTAAAAACACTAAAAACACTTCAAACTTAGCTAAACATTAAAAGCAATTTTAAAAAGGTGAGTTTAAGGCTGAGGCGACCTCGGAGAGGCCCAAGATGGGGTGGGAATATGGGGTCTTCTCTGCTCTGATGTCCCAAGGTGCAGAGATACCTAAATCCACCACTGTTGAGCAATTAGTAGCTTAACGGTTGTTTGTTGTGCATTCACCAACGAACCGTGCAGGCTCCGTGCCAATCGTGGGGGTCGGCGGGATAACAAACGGCGCCGACGCGTTCGAGAAGATCAACGCTGGGGCCTCGCTTGTGCAGCTCTACACGGCGCTCATGTACCAGGGCCCGCCCGTCATTGCGCGCGTCAAGCGCGAGCTGCAGGACCTGCTCAGGTATATTCTGGGGCGCTGTCCGTCGCTGATGCGACCGCAGACACGCGGTCGAATTACAGTTTGCAAAAAACGACCCTTTCAAGCCGTTGGGGATGACATGAGACGTGTGTTGCTTTTCGTGTGTAAAGCGCCTTAACGCTTTTCTGTTTTCGAGACGTCTAGAAGTTGCAGGGTGGGTGTCCTGTTCACCACTGAATTCTCGGAACGCACGAGCGGTTATCGTTCATTTTATTTAGAGAGGCATAGCGCCGTTGTTTTTAAAAACATTGTACTCACCGCAGAGAACTGTAGCGAGCCAACCACACTCTATGATAGCTGTCACCAAACTGTGCCACAAGCCCTCCCCACATGGCATTTTACTTCTGATTCCGTTCCGATGACATACATGTACGCCATTCTATATGTACACGTACGCCATTATATGTATGTACACGTACGCCATTCTATGTATGTACACGTACGCCATGGGAATGGGCTAAGACGCCCAGGAGTAAAGGAGGGTGCTTATTATGAAAAAATAATTATGGATATTTTCATCATTATTACTTCTACGGTTCATTAAATCAGCTCAAGTGCAAGTGCTAGGTGGATTGATACATTGCAGGATGGGGAGAGATGGTGATAGTTTGGGCGGGCCTTCGTCCAGCAGTGAATGGATCACGGTTGATAACATTGTGACTGACTTCTTCACCATCGTCCACCTCCCTGTGTTCAATTGTAATTACGATCACAGCAGCATCGTTAGCCGTAGTTCCTTACGAATTAGAATTGTATGTGATCCCAGGTCAGTATGGTAATCGGGACCCATCATCACAAAACGAGCAATGTCAACAAAAACGTCACCATTTTTCATCATCTGTCCACATGACGGGTTTACCCAACAATTGTTTTGTTTGGGCTCCATTTTTTGCAGTGAACACGGCTACAGCAGCGTGGCCGAGGCTGTAGGGGCCGAACATCGGGAACCCCGGACCGGATTGCCGCGGCAGGCGGAGCGTAATGCGGGGGGTGCGGCGGCGTGACGGACGCGATGTGGCTGAGCTGTGCAGCGGTGGTGTCGGGGAGAACCGTAGCTGTGAGCCGGATTTTTCTGCCGAAAGAACGTTAGCACCAACAACCTGGGAATCGTTTTATTTTTGTATTTTTAAACGAGCAATAGTTTTGCATTAAGTAGGAGTGATCTGGAGAATCTGCAGAACGCTCATCACACATACATGGGATAACACTCATTTGGTCTGTGGAGATTAATTCACGAGTCCTCCTTGTTCTGCTGTCATCCACTGGCACACCTCACGGCCTAGCTGGTCTAGGAGTTTAACAAATCCCTACGAAATACTCTAAAAAACTTGCCTCTCCACAGGTGTGCGCCACTGTATCCAGCTCATACGTTTGTGCTTTCCTGAATTTTTATCACCAATGAAGTTTCGTGAAAGGTTTCACGAGTATAATATATGAATTTCGATCGCTGCCTTCATATGTATTTTGTATTGGTACATCCTCGCAAAAGTTAATTTGTAATTGTTAACACGAGCTGTGGATGTGCTGCTGCACTCGCGATAATCGCTTGTGCGCATTAACGTCAAGCGGACGCACAACGCGTCCCACTCGATGGCTATTTGTATTTTTGTAAAGCTGATGTAAAAAGCGGCGGTTGCCTTTTCCCCACTACCCATCGCTCACTTGCTTGGCCGAGCAAATTTGGCGATAGTGTCGACTTTCCGATGTGTGCTCGTTACAAAGCTGTTGCGACAGAAGAACAACACCTTGATGACCTGCCGACAATCGAGCCGTCCCGCGTGGAATTGACATCACACGGCTTCTTCAAAGGGTCCCCGCTCAAGTTAGACGCCCCCAAAAAATCTAGCATCACTCCCAAGACATCTCGACAAACAGTGTAATATGCACGGTGCGGCAATATTCAGGAACAGTAGAAACTTCATTCCTATGATGTAGGAGAAGATACAAGCTGAGTGTAATATTCGTATGATTAATAAGATGAATGTGGGAAGATCACTGCATACATTTCCGCAGTTGTGCTCTACAGCTCTCCAATGCGTTTTTGCGTTATACCACTGTCCGAAGTTTCACTCCACATACAAGGAGCTTCTTTAGGAACCGACCTGAGCTCCCCTAGCTTGTACTATTTTCTAAATATATAAAACGGGGCCCCAAAATCGCCCTACGGCAATGGAGCTTCTTTCAGGTCCTGAAATTCGTGAAGAAGCTCCCAGCAAGTGGAGCTAAACGTTGGACATGGTGGCAAACAACCCCACGTGGTACAACCCCTAACCACGTCGTAGAGGGAATGTTCAAGCATCCTATGTATGAAACGGTTTGAGAGGTGTGTGTGTGCATGCAAACGGTGAACGGTTGCAGCGTCGTCATTGGCCATGATTGATCTGCTTGCATGAAGGGCTCTGCAAGCCATTGCACACAGTTTGAGCATCTCCTGCTATTTTTCTGCACAGACGTATGGTTCCTGGCATTTTCCCACACCCTGTGCAGTATTCGAAATGATTTACAGAAAAATGCCAAAAACGAAACAGGAGTCGAAAATGTACGAGTAATTGCAACCAGATGGTGCGTGTACTATTCGTACACGAGGCGACTTTAGGCAATGCCAAAGCAATGAGATTAGTGTGCACGATGCGCGAGTGTGTTGCGCACGCTATTCGTGTGTTCATGTCGCTGTGCAGTTTATATGTGTGTGGTTGTGGAATGATTCGTATCTGATCACAAGTTAAATGCGTGTCGTAAACACTCCTCCACCTGAGAACGCCGATTAGTAAAATAATTTCAACGAATGTTGGCAATTTATGAATAACAAATGATATTAACGTCCGTTAGTAAAGCAGCATCTTCCAAATGTTACGACAGCTCATGCGATCTGACCCAAAAATAAATTGTGAAGCAATGTTGGTAGCGAAAACCTACATGGTAATTTCACCAACCTCTGTGTGGTTGTGGAATATTGTGTCCCATTGTATGCTTGACAAATCAGGCCAGTTGCACTTTGACCAATTGATCCGAGCAGCTTCTATATAAGAGTATTATACAACATGTACTTCCTTATTTTAAGTTTTGCTGGCTGGTGTGCAGACAGGCAAGTGCGTGCTGATGACGTCACCACGCACATCTGTGACGACGTCACGCGTATCCCACAACAAGTGCAGGTTTCGTGTGTGTTGACGTCACGCCTCCCCCACTCACCCTCCACCCCAGCCATGTCGCCCGCGCAATTGCGTGGGCAGTGCTCGTATAAATAACTAAATAGATCGGCAATGTCTCCTTCACGTATCCATATCTCCACATTAAAATATACAAAAGGACGCAGGCGAGTTTTGTGCACGCCACTAAAACGCATGCGGCGCAGGGGGCATTGTGTACTTTGTGAGAAATACTTTGTCAGATTTGACATGACATTTTCATAGGGTCCAGTATTTGAGTGAACCCAGTCATGAAATGTCAAGTTTTTCTCAAAATTACTGGACTCATTACAACAGCCATCGCTATATTCTGTTTTACAATATATGTTACAACCACGTGCCAATCTTCTGCTGGAGGAAAGCATCCCCCGTGCCGTGTGAGCGAGCCATGATGGTTTAAATTTTGCCTTAAAACTGTCGTGACTGCAGGAATTCATATTCTCGGTTCTTTCGGTAAAGTCACGTAGGTAGAATGATGGTTTGTTTATTTTAATCATACTTCACCATACTGCATGGTCAGTACTGGTTGGGTATGCAGTATTTAAGATGTCATCCAACGCTGACGTTAACTGGCGGCTGGGAATCGAACTCTGGTGGCTGGGTTCATCGCACAGCGCTAACTGCTGTTCTGCCACTGCACCCCAACTGCTATATATAATGTACAGCAGTGGTCAGCATGGTGTGTTTGTGTGACTGTGTGTGTGTATATATGCTCTGTAAGCCGATATGGCTGTATACGTGACTGGTCTCGCCGCCCACTGAGCCCACCAACCGAAGCTCATTGTATCGCCGGGCCACTGTCAGAGCTTTCCATCATCATCCTCGTCCCATTCGCCTCCTCGCCTCCACCCTCGACAGCACAGCTCCAACCAGTGCCACCCTTGCACTGATTAAACTAATTATTTGGGGGGGGATGCTGCGTTAGAAGTGGTGCATAAGCACAACTAACAAAACAAATCAACACATTCGTCAGTAACAATGGGCGTAAAAGGAAATATATAATCGGCGACGTTTCGGTTAATGGCCCTTCATAGCACATGAATAGAGAGGTCAGAGATAATGTGGAAGATCAGAGTTGGAGACCACTTAATATCATGGGGCCTGATGATAATAAAATAACATTTATAATGTTTTCTGATGACCGGTTTTTTTTATTGGAATATGAATAGTTACCTAAGAGTAGCTATTGGGTAATGGACAAACCTTTAAGTAATCAAACATTATTACTAAATAAACTCAAAGTTACATTGCATTGTGGGACGATTGCTTCTCGTGAGCACAAGGCACTCATTTAGGCACTTGAGTATTTAGCGGGATTTAGCCAGCAGTCGGGTTCTCCGAATAATTTTCAGGAGGATCCTACATTTGGCTGTTTGGGCAATGCCATTAATTATTTTGGTTTCGTGTGTAAAAAAAACCCGGGGGACTCGGGGAGAAAAACCCACGCGACTACGTGAAGAGAGGAAGGCCTTAGGGTCGGGATCGAACCTACGATCTCCTGTAATCCAGGCAAGGTAGTTAACATCTTTCCACCGTGGCACCACCACTCCCATCCAGCAATGGATTGACAAACATGCTGCACTATAACAATAGGTTTTACCCTTTCTGGCAATAAAACAGGTGTCGAGATGTTAAAACCTCAAACAGAATCCGTATTCAAGGACTCCTGTCTGCATTAACCGCGCGTACTTGTGGTGAACATGCAAACAAAAAACATGCTCTGATAATGTATTAATTGTCTTTGAAACTGATTGGTTTGAAATGGGCGTAGCCCAAATGTCAGCGCTCATTTCAAACCTTTATAAACAGTTGTCTTTAGAAGCTAACCCCCTTTTTCCTGATGACGACCGCTTGTGTTGCGATCGAAACGTCGTGGTTTTTTGTTATTTTCTTCAAACCTATCTACGTGACTTTACCGAAAGACCCAAAGAATATGAATTCCTGCAGTCACGAAAGCTTTAAGTCAAAATGTTGTCTCAAGGTGTTAGACGAGAGAACGCCAAAAGGCGAACAGCACAGGCAATGCATTTCTAGCTCGGGGCGAGCAGCTACCATATGGGACCTTTCTTGCTAGTATTAAAATATAACAATAGGTTTTACCCTGATTTATTGCCAGGAAGGGTAAAACCTATTGTTATATTTTAATACTGGCAAGAAAGGTCCTATAATGCTGCACATAGGTCTAAATTTCAGCCGGAATAGTCTGGAACGCTGCTCCAGAAAATGATGTTGGTACATAGCCACATTTATCTCGCCTATGTTGTCCTCATATATAGAAATGTAAGGTATAGATTTGCAGGGTATAGATGATAATTTTGTTGGCATTAGCTAATCTGATGTACCCCATAGTGTGGAATTGTGGACTCCACTTATATGGTTTCCAGAGGCAAACTTTACAGCAGTGAGCATTGGTGGCTTCCATGCTGATGAATCCGATGAAGAACGAAACCGATCCACAGTTGTCCATCTCTCTATTGCTTCTACTGCTGCCAGTCGGTGACATTTGCTCAAATTTATTTTGATGGTGACCGAAGACTTGAGGAACATGGTGCAGTTACATTATGGGACCTTTCATGCCAGTATAAAAATATAAAAGTTGGTTTTACACTTTCTGGCCATAAAACAGGTGTTACGATGTTAAAACACCAACAGAAAGCTTTTACAAGCAATCATGTCTGCATTAACCACACATACTTGTGGTGAACATGCAAACAAAAACATCTTCTGGTAATATATGCATTGTCTGTTAAACTAATTGGTCCACACCAGAGACATCTTTCTTTAAAGCCTCGAATCAAACATGTTCACGACAAGTATGTGTGGTTAATGCAGAAATGATTCCATGTGAAAGGTTTATGTTGGTGTTTTAACATTTTCACGCCTCTTTTATTACCGGAATGGGTAAAACCAATTCTCATATGGTTGCAGTTCAGGAGCTCGCTGTTGTTTTTTTGTATAATGCACAGAGGCTGTGTGTGCTTTGTTAGACGTCTCTTGTATGAAACGTCTGTGTTGGTCATTGCGGGAAAGGGATCCCTTGTTACGGATCGTGATTAGAAGCGACAAGGGAGAGAGAGAGCCTCATAGCCAAGTTCGACCTCGGGGCGGTCACCTCCATCAGCCAATGTGCGCGCGCTCTCCCGTCCACACCTCTCTCTCTCATTCTCGTCTCGTCTCCTCCTGTTTGCTGCCATCACTGCTACTGCTGCTTGCAGTACAATCTACACGTTTCTGTGTACTCTTCCAACAGTCTCATTTTATGTCGTAGCGGCCGGATCGGGTCTCTAGGTTGGATTAGGTCGGCGACAGGTGGTCTGACCGCGACGTTCGCGCTCGACACGTCCCAAGCGCATTCAGGGAAGGGAAGGGGGTGGGAAGAGCGGAGGAAGGAGGAGGTTGTGAGACTCCGGGCAAAGGGACACGCACGCACACACGCGCACACGTGCCGAGTCCTGCGAAACAGCCGCCATTCGCCACTTGCCGGCGACGTGACCGCACAGCACTCGTGCCAGGCTAGGTGCACTTTGAGCCACGCACCTACGAAGACACGTGTACACAGACACAGACATGTCTCCGTCGCTGTCCTTGTCGGCGGTCCGGGGAGCGCGGCGGCTGCTGCTGCTGGGCGGCCTGAAGGGCTCGGCGTGCCGGGATTACCCCCGCGTCGTGGGAGTCTCGCCGGACCCCAGGCCTGCGTGGGGTCTTCCCGCGCGGGGTCTGCACTCCACCGGCTTGGTGGCCGCAGGTGAGAGGGTCCCCGGTGGGTCTGGGGGTAGCGGCGGGGACATGCGATGGATGAGGGCTCGGAGCGCCCGGGTGGGTGGGTGGGGAGCAGAGGTAGGGGATCCTAGGGTGTAAAGGACACCCCTGAGGCTAGCGGGGGGAGTCTGGGGAATCGGGGAGCAACGGGGTGTGCGAGACCCGCGTTTGGAACGGCTGTCAAAAGAACCCGCGGGCATTCGAAAGGGGTCCAGAGGGTGGTAGGACGACACGAGTCTGGGAGCACGCGACGGGGTATACAGGGGTGCAGAATCCTGGGGCTCGTGGGGGGGGGGGGGTCCAGAGATTAGGGGGCACGGGGGATCAACATCGGGGGTTATGGGGAAACTGGGTAACGGGGACACAAGGCACCAGAACCCTGGGGTCCATGAGCCGGAGACTGGGGGGGGGGGGGGTAACTGAACGCAGGGGCTCGAGGAAAGCGGGAATCCCAAAGGGATGCAGGGGTTGGGGAGGCACAGGGGGTCTCAGGATCCGGAGTCTAAGGCAGTTGAGGACTTTGGGGGACGCAAGCGACCGGGCCTTGCCACTGCCCTTCTCGAGGCTGACCGACCTGGCCTAGCCGGTCTGCCCGGCAAGGAGAACTCTCGCCCGGCGTGAACCGCTAGGCCATCGCGGTGGGCGAGGGCACTGTCGTCTTGTTTTAAGTATTGTTATTACTGCTGTTATTCGTATGCCAATTATTTTTGGTGGTTATTCTGACCGTCGTCCTGGTTGTAGTGTGTCGTATGTCGTCGTTACGGCCGATTGCATAAACTGTCTTGACTGTGTTCTACCTTAGTTATTGAAATTAATACAGTTTAAGAGAGCTGCATCAGTGAAACATTAAGTTGTGTTGTGCATGTTGCTGAAGTGAACAATTTGTATGTTTGACGATATAGTTCGTTGTGTTTACAGATATGCAATTTTTATTAGACTGTTTAAACAAATGCCCTCAAAAAAATAAAATATACTGCGTATAGTGTGTACAAATAGCCTCCTAAATTGTAGACCCAGTGTATGAATGCAAATAGCCTCCTACATTGTAGACCCAGTGTATGAATGCATCTATTGCACGCTTTCCAGGAAAGCCTTTTTTAGGACGGTCGTGTATTCGATTTTTTTTGCCGTTTCCTTTTTAAAGCGAATCACTGCGATGCATTCATTTGCATGTGGGAGGAATTGTCTGCAGAGATGAGTTTGCGAACTCACTTGCTGTATTTCCACTTGCTCACTTTACCGAAAGAACCAAGAATATAATGCATATATTGTTAGAGCATGTTTATTCGCATGTTTGGCCACAACAACGTGTGGTTAATGCAGATTTTATTACTTGTGTTTGAAAATCTTAACACCTGTTTTATTGTCAGAAAGGGTAAAACCTATTATTTTTCATACTTTAGCCTGTGTTTGAATATTGTGAGATTTACTCAAAATGATGACATCTATGAATATTTATAACCAGACAGTTGGAGAAATAGTTGGATGCTACGCACCGTTTGCATCTGTCAATGAAATATTTGGGCCGGGTTGTATCAGTGTGGTTTTCCTGGCCTCTCCCACATTGCATTGTGACTCGAATTCAACAGAAAATCTGCTTAAGCACCAAACACCAACTTCAAGATGTGTGCCGTTCCTGAGGTTGTAAACAAAGTGGAACCTCCCTTTGGGTAGGACAGACACAACTGGGTGACGGTTCTTAATATGGAACACAATGATTGTATTTTACTTGCAAAGCAAGACTTCGCAAGAAAGGGCAAATGCCGCCTCGAGGCATCGTCCCACACTGAGCTCAGCTCTTGAACAACTTCTCAGGCATCGTCCCACACTGAGCTCAGCTCTTGAACAACTTCTCAGGGAAATCACGAATGCGGTGCATTACTAATGTTTTGTAAAAAAAAAATGTTGCTTTCCAATGCAGTCCAACACGTAAAACAGGCATTATGTCTCAAGGCCCCTGTCAGGACATATACCATAATCTATCTACCGAGTGTCCTCCACGTAAGTGAGGTTGATTTCCATGACAGATGCTTTCCACCGTTTACAATGTTCAGCGCCTGTCGTGTAGAGTCTCATCCTGACTGCTCTCATTGTCCCACAGACCGATCCGTTTCCTTCCTCTCCCACTCCTCTCTTCCATTTTCCCCTGCAGAATCATCTCCGTCATAAAATGTATATCTCCAGCTAATCCCCTTAATAATACGTTCAACTTGTAACACGCACACAGTTACGTCGCACATATGCAGCATTTCTTCACATCATCCCTCTCAGTAATTCTTGCTTGTAGCTGTCGTCTCGCAGCAGATCTTGATCCTTCTTTGCGAAGAGTCTCCTATGACTATATTAGTGAGATTAACTCTTCACCAGGAAGGACACAGTTCAAGAGTGATTCACCCTGATCGCCCACTGTTCATTGCTGTGATATAGTGCAAACACACCAGGTGAGTTGGGCAACTGCTTTTACCAGTTATTTGTTCCTTGTTTCATGTAATTGTTTTTTTTATTATAATATTAATCTGGCCATGTGGCTAAGCAGCAGAGTGAGCGGCTCGCAACTGAAAAGTTTCGAGTCCAAATCCTGGTTGGGGGGGTTCACTCGGCCCATCATCCATCTGGGGTGAATAAGATTAGTTTCACTTTAAGGGGAATTCAACAGTGGTTGTTATCCTGTGGATAGACTCGCCTCTAATGTAGGCAAGGGGAGTTTCCACCACTGCCTTAAGAATGTAAACTAAGATGAGCACCACCTCAATACTGATTTTAGCAGGACATCGCCTTGTCTTAAACAGTAATATAAGTTTGTTTTATTTTTTTACTTATTCTACCTGGAATAAATTGCCTCGTTATTTGAAGCTAAATTCTTGTATGCTGTTTTTTCCAAGTGTTGGGTTTTCAT